GAAAGGAGGGCAGGGGAAGGGGAAACAAAATAAGAACCAAGATACTCATATAATGGTACAAGATCCCAATGATGAATGTAGCTGTATTTTATACCTAAAATGTACCAATAAACTTAATGGGAACAAAAGATAAAAACATGGGAGGCTGAAGCAGGAGGATCATAAGATCAAGCCAACTCTGGACAATTTAGCAATTTAGCAAGACCCTGTGTCAAAATAAGAAGTTGAAAAAAGTGCTAGTGATGTAGTTCAGTATTAAGGCTCTGGATTCAATCCCCGGTATCACAAAAACAAACAAAACAAAGCAATTAACACAAAGTAGAAATTCAAATTAGGTTGCCCAGGTAGTATACTGGGTAACATGGAAGTCAAGTTTGAATTAAGACAACTTAATTATTTTTTCCCCAGGTGAATCTTGTTTACACAACATCTGCCTTCTCCAAATTTTATAAGCAGTCTGTTGTTGAAGATGTCAGGTAATGTATGTCCCTTACTTTGAGGATATAGTGAATAGAGATTGATATCCATAGAAATAGTATATTCTCCCCGGAGATGCAACTGTATGGTAATGATTCCAAATTTGAATACAACACAGTGATCTGAATTCATGTAGTATGATGCTTTCCTTTTCCAATCCCCAATAATAGGAGCCAATGGCTACCTAAAAAGGCACTTGGGTTCAGTCAAAGGATGTGCTCATTAGCTTTGAATATGTTAGTTGGGTATCTGCTTTCCTGAGAAAATTTATTTCCTAAGAGGGAAACCCTGAACATCTCTATCTTTTCACTATAGCAGCAACAACAAAGGTGGCCTCCTTGTCCACTTTTGGATTGTGTTTGTCATGCCACATGCCAAGGGCCACATTTTCTGTGAGGACTGTGTGGCAGCCATCTTGAAGGATTCCATCCAGACGAGCATTATAAACCGGACCTCTGTGGGGAGCTTGCAGGGCCTGGCTGTGGACTTGGACTCTGTGGTACTAAATGGTGATTGTTGGGTAATTCTTTAAGCAGCACTTCTGATACTTGCCATTACCATAGTCAGCACTGTAATCAAGTGTTCCCTTCCTCAATCCCAGTGGCACAGGATTAGCTGAAGGCATTGGAGCTACATTGGTTAAGGATATTGCTAAATGTTACACACAGTCAATGACTGAAGAATAGAATTGAAAATGTGGTATAGAAAAAATAGAATTTTAAAAAATGTAGCCCACCTTACATTTACTCTGCTTATGCATCTTCAAACTAAGTCCCCACAGAACAAAGTCAGAAAATGAAGAATTTTGCAGAGCTTTCTTTTGTCTCTTTCCTTGTGTAGACAGAATTATATCAATATTATGTAGCATTACTCAGTGCTCCAAAATGGCCTATCTCATATCTCCATCAAATTGCAAATTATATCACTTTTTTGACAGTGGTATAAATGGTTTAATCATTGTGTAGCACAATATTTGTGCAGATTTGTCTTTTGGTTTAGTTATATACATATATAGTTATGTGTATATATATATAATATATACACATACATATATATGCTATATATGCTAGGCATATGGTAAATGGTTGATAAATATTTATTAAGTGAATGAATGAAAAATCCCTAGTGAAAAATTCTGCAAGGATTTACTATTTCAGTCATTATTTTTACTTGCTTGGTTGCTTTCTTACCTTTAAGAAATGTTTAGAACTCATAACTGTGTAATTTGAAGGATACAGAAGTAAAGAGAATAATATACTAAACTCTCATAAAATGTATTCTTAGCTTCAAAAACTATCAATTTAGAGCTGTAAATCTCTAAATATCCAAATAGCTACCCCCATCACTTGATTATCTTAAAACACAGTCTCATTTGTGTTTGATTGTTTTAAAGAAGGACTGAAAGTAATTTTTATTAAGCAAATTTCTAACAAAATAAAACACTAGGACCAACAGTCTATTTCTATGTGTTTTTTCAATGCAGCTGGGCTTCGATCAGATTACTCTTCGACCATAGGATCTGGTAAATTCTTTTGTGTTTCCCCTTTACCCATCTCTCCATTACTATCATTTTTTTCATAGTTTTCCTTTTTTTTCTTCCATGATTTCCCCTTTCTAATGATATTTGGTAGTGCTCTTCTGGTTGCAAATGACAGAATTGACCTAAGTGCAAAGGAAACTTGACAGGTGTGTGTAACTGGGGCAAATGTGGGATGTGGTGACTTGAGGCATGATTCAGTCTAAGTTCTAAAATAGTATATTGCAGGGCATTGTTGTGCACACCTGTAATCCCAGCACTCAGGAAGCTGGGGCAGGAGGATCACTGTGAGTTCAAGACCAGCCTGGGGTACATAGAGTTCAAGGCCAGACTGAAGTACACAGTGAGACCTTGTCTCAAAAAACAAACAAACAGAATAACAACAACAAAAAACAACCCCAAAACAAAAACAAAAACACCATATCATCAGGACTCTGTTTTTCTGCCTTCCTCTGTTATGGCTTCATTATCAAGTGTGTTCTTTCACTGTGATAGTAACAATTGCCACCAGTATACAGATCAAGCTTATAGTTTATCATTGTCTCAATCATGGTAGAAAAATATCCCGCACATATTTCTTGATAGCTTTTGAAGAAGTACTGGAGCTGAATGTCATTACCCAGGTTACCAACTTGCCTATTCTTGGACCAAGTTCTTTGGCTCTGATTGGCCAGGCAGAATCACGTGCCCATCTCTGGAACTAGGGGTGAGTTTAACCCCAAACAGGCTATGTAGGCAGAGGAGGGATGGCTTCCTAAGCAAAGTCTAGGGGCTGTTACCCAAGAGAATGGACTAGCAGACAGCACATGTCTTCCACATGACCTCTTTTGCTCTTGACTCTTCTACAAAGATTTCTGGAAAAGTCATTCCTAAAAAAAATCAAAGATAAATAAATCCAGAAAGAAAAAAAAAATAGAAAGAAGGATAGAAAGAAAAAAAGAAAGTCAAAAGGCAAGTACTGTCTCCACAGACAAAGGCTGCTCTCAGTACTTCTATGCAGATCAACTGTCTCTCCACTACCCGCTGGAGATTTCTGCAACCTCAGGGCGGCTGATGTGTCACTTCAAGCTGGTGGCCATAGTAGGCTATCTGATTCGTCTCTCCATTGAGTCCATCCAACTGGAAGCTGACAACTGTGTCACTGACTCTCTAACCATTTACGACGCCCTTTTGCCAATTCGGAGCACTGTTTTGTACAGGTAAGCGTGCAGGCACTATTGTTGATAGTGAAAAGATTTTTTTTTTTTTATAATTTCTGCTTTGCAGTATATTAGTTCCCCTTGGATTTTAAGAAAACATTTTTGTGTACATTTATGGAGTCAAAGACTGACCTCTGCTCTATTTTTCACCTTTATATTTTTGTACCTTTGCCAGAGTTCATTGGATTCAGTGTTTGTTTTGCATTTGTAAAACAGTCTCTCAAAATGAGGAAAGCAGAACCTTTAACCAATCTATCTAAAAATGACAGATATTTTGGTTAATTTTACTTTTATTACAGTGACAAAGAAGTCTGGTGTTCAAATAAATGGCAAAAACTCTTCTATGAAGAATAAATATTCTATGATAGTTACATAGCATTAGTAAAACAATTCTTTTTACTACAAAGATGAAAGATGTTTGTTGTAGCAAATGAGGTCTGTTAGAGAAAATTGTATCAATTACTTTATAGTCTGATTGCCTAGAACACATTTCTGTTATATTTTAGCATAATTTTTTCATGCCATGCATACGTACATACATGTATTTATCTACCCCCTAATATTTTTTACTTAACAGTAGACATCTATTTAAGGTTACTTAATATTCAATAACTTTATAATGCCAAAAATAATGGGCTTTCTTAATAAGTTGTGACTTATTATTCGCTGTTAAAAAATATGTGAATTACCTTACTATTTTAATAGAGTTTATGTATATCACAGTTTTTTATTTGGGTATGTGCATACGTATTTTTATTTTAGTGATCAATATGCATGTTAAAAGTTCAACATTATATAAGGATATGCAATACAAAGTAAGTTTTAAATTACTCTCATTTCTCAATGACTTCTAGTTTCTTTCCATCCGTCCAGATATTTTTAGCACTATCTCATTGAATCCTCACCACAATCCTCTGAGAAGCGTACTGTTATTACTACTACTGTTTCATAGGGAACTGGCACTTCCATGTATTTAGTTGCTTGATTGCCTGGCATCTTTTATCTAGTTCATTGGGGGAGCTGATTTTGGAATCCAGTATTCCTGTTACAGAACCCATGAACTTAATGACTACACACCTTGCCTTTATAACTTATTTGCACTCAGAGAGGTGCCAGGGACAGGCATCTAAGAGAATCCTTTGGTGGAAGCTACTGGACAAACATTTCTGCACCTTTTGCAGCTCCATCCCATTTGCAGTACTCTGTGACCACTAACTGGTAAAGACCTGGCTGCAGAGACTGATTCTTGAGAAATGGGTAGATGGCTCTGGAAATGTGTGGAATTAATGTTGGCTGGGGGGTCTATTCCTCAAATGGCCTATTATTTATGTACTTTGTTTTGTTATCTGATTTCAGACTTTGTGAACCCACAAGAACACTAATGTCATTTGTTTCTACAAATAATCTCATGTTAGTGACACTTAAGTCTCCCTATATTCGGAGGCTATCAGGAATTCGGGCATACTTTGAGGTCATTCCAGAACAAAGTAAGTCTTCTGCAATTAAAAAAAAATCACTTATGGAAATACATATCTTCAATACTTCAGGCATCTTTTCTCTCCTGAAGCCGTATTATAGTATTACTTGTATTAGTCATTATTCTGATTGATTCAGGGCCCAGTCAGTCAGAAGAGAAAGAACAGAGTGAATGTAATAAAGTACTGGTAAATTGACATACAGGTATTGAGTAGGTAACTCAAAACAAGAAAACCTAAAGGATGTAAGAGATGTAGGAAGCCCTCAGGTTGGAAGAATGCAGGAAAGAGGTTGAAACTGTCACAGCTTAAAGGTTGGGGAGGAAGTCTGTTGCATGAATATCTGGCCTCTTTGGAGAAGTTGCTGTTTAGCTGTGTTGAATCTTGGAGTTCAGAATTATGTTTCTAAAGCATCCTACATATCTGTAGCCAAAATACAGGATTTGAAAACAAACATGGAACTTGAGAACAAGTATTTTAGCTAAACATCTGTACAGTGCTATTTCTTAAAAAACAAAAACCAACAACAAAGTTAAAAAATATACCAACTTGCTAATCAGGGAAGTGTGCATTTATAATTACAGATATGTATGCAGTGCATTTTTGTATAATTTCACAACTTCAAGTCATTGTGTTTTACTGGATATCTTTTTCAGAATGTGAAAACACAGTGTTGGTCAAAGAAATCCCTGGCTTTGAGGGGAAAATTTCAAGTCCATATTATCCAAGCTACTATCCTCCAAAATGCAAGTGTACCTGGAAATTTCAGGTAGCTGAGTTTTATCAGAATCTTAGGAAAATATTGTTATCCTATTTTGGGTACAATTTTATTGTTATTTTTCATTATCTTTATTTTTTAAATTCCAAAAATAATATCATTTAATTTTATAAAGTTTGAACCTTATCAAAATATAGGAACTAAGAAGTGAAGTTTTCCTCTAAGTTCAACCCTCTGACAAGTTAACTGTTCTTAGTAGTGGGCTTATCTCTCTAGCTTACTTTGTCTATTTGTATTACAAAATGGAAAGGTGTTATTGCAGGATCAAACAATTATTTTATTATGATACAGTTCATTTATCAATGATTAATTACTTCATAATAGAAATAATAAAATAAATTGGATTACTCAATATATATTTTGCATAAACAAACAAAAGTGTAAATTTATATAAAATACATACCCTCTGGTGTTAGATATGGTGTTATTCTATTTTAATATTAGACTAAACTATTGTGCTTTGTTCAATTATATTAGCATCTAGTGATAACCCTAAGTATCACCTTTGCTCTTTCAGTGTATACATATAAAATCATTATATGTAGCATGGAAATTAGATGTAAATGGTGATTATACGTAGTTTGTGTCATCAATGTGTTTTCGAATGAACTACTATGGGCAAGGTACCGGGCACTACTCTGGACTCTGAACAGCTATGAAATTGGAGAAAATCAAAAACAAAAATCTGCGCTCATGGAGCTTACCCTCCAGTAGAGGGAGACAAGTGACAAATAAACAAGTTACTTTTCCAGTGAGCCCTCTGTATCTGTGGCTTCTGCGTCTGTAGATTCAACTGACACCAGATTGTACTGAACATGTACAGATATTTTCTTGTCACTATTCCCTAAACAATACAACAATTGTTAATGCAGCCTTTACTTGGCATTAGGTATTATAAGTAATCTGGAGATGATTTAAAGTATGTGGAAGGATGTATATGTTATATACAAATACTACAACATTTTATAAAGTGACTTGAGCATTCACAGATTTTAATATTTATTGGGGTCCTAAAACCAGTTCCTCTTGGAGAGTCATGACAATTGTGTGTAGTATGTGAAATGGTGACAAAATGCTGTGGAGAAAAACAGAGCAGGGAAGAAGGCTTTATAGCTTGAGTAGAAAGCTGGAAGGGAACAAGTTCGGGCTTTGTTATCTAAAATAGGATGGCCAAAGAAAGGCTCATTGACAAGAGACCTTACAGAGATAACTAAGAAACATGAGAGAACTAAATTTGTAGACCTGCAAGATAAGAATGCTGCAGCAGAGGGAACAGGTGAGGAAAAGATTCTCAGGAAGGAAGTGCTTGATGCATGTACGATTATTTGTGTGCAATCATATCAATTAAATAGTCAAATAATTTCATTACTCTCCCCAAATCTAAACTTGACGTCCATGTCCTGATGACACATAGTCTTAAATTATTTGCCATTATCACAAACATTTCCAAAATAATTAGAAGATTAAGATGCTGTGCCCTTTTTTACTGACAGATTTTCAAGGCATTAAGGTCTCAGATGATCAATGGGTCTGAGGGTTGGGGAGATTTGAGGAAAGCATAGATGAAAGGAAGATTTGGAAAAGGAAGAAGGAAAGACATCAAATCTCCATCTCTTCAGTATCTCCAGAAAGCATATTTTTCTTTTTGGGTTAGTATAATAGCCAGAACAAGACAGGTGCCATTCTCAAAAGCTCTGTCAAATGTCTGAAATTCTTTTGATATAAAATAAATATTGATTCTATGATAACCCATATACTTACAATTAAAATCCCTGGACCTCATTGCTGGGGTTTTTAGTCAGAGTGTAAATAGGAATCTCAGATCACTTTCTGTTTTGCCAAGAGTTAAGGGCTAGAAATGCTGCCAAAAAAGAAGCCTTCATAGGGAAAAGGGGTTGCCAGTAAGACTGGAGGTGGGAGATAGTAACCGTCAGGGGTGAACCTGGAGGTGGACAGCGGTTCACAGAGAGCAGGGGTTGTCCACCTCCTGTGGAGGCTAAATAAATAAAATCATGCTGCTTCCTAAATAAATCGGGCCTCCACCCTTTTTCTGGGTTTCTGAAGATGTCCATCTTCCCTGTGCCTCATAACAGTCACTTAGCTGAACATTTACTTCCCTTTTCTTTGCTGCTTTTCTTTTCCAGTACATGTTGTTACAGAATCCTCGAAAACAGACAGAACAGTGCATTGACTTGTTTTATGAGAGATGGTATAGCCCTAAATCATTCAATTTGGCTCCATCAAGCAGAAGCAGGGGGCCTGTAAGTCACTTCTTCATCACTTAGGGAGTCAGTGGGAGTGCACAGGAGGGAGCCCCTCTTTCTCTGCTTCTGTGAAGGAAATATGAGGCCTCATTGCCACAGAAATTTCCTGTGCTCATCTGAGGTGGGCTTTGGGTTGTGTATACTCAACCACTTGCCAGTTAGGGGTAACTGAAGGCTAAAATGTTCCCAGCACCTGTTGCCATCACTGACTAGAGAAATAATTAAATAGCATAGGTCCAAATAAGAATTCCTTTCTTTGCTTGTTTAAAGTTACCATACAAAGGCAGAGGGTGGAGAATGGAAACTGAGAATACAGAACATATAAGGAAATATCATACTTGTTTTTGTTCATTTGTCAAAACAGTTTGTAATACTCTGTGGAATTGTACCCTTTGCAGATTAATGTCAGTAGTAGCCAGACAACCTGTGCACATGTAGAAATGTGTGTCACTCTGTGTCAGTAGAGGCAGTTTTATTTCCTTTCATTATGCAGAGGCTCAGAATTGAGAAGTGGTCATGCATATAAATCTGTTTTATTTTGAGGCAATGGAAGATAGTATAAACACCAAAGCAAGCTTCTTGGTAGAAGATTACACTGGAAGATGTTCCTACACTATAAAAGTTTTCGGTGTTTTTTTGAGACAGGATTTCACTATGTAGTCCAGGCTGGCCTGGAGCATGATCTTCCTGCCTCAGCCTCTGGAGTATTGGTGTTACATGCGTGCACCATTGCACCCATCTGCACACTGTAAAATGTACACTGGTTACCTAAGATACTGTCTCTCAGTTTGCACCTTTTTTCTGTGAAGAAGTAACCGTCCGACAAGCCTGGAAATAAATTGATGTGTGTTCGCATGAGCTCTGGGCTTTTGTTCCACATGAGACCTTCCTGTCCTCTTAGGAGGAGGCTTGCACATTAGCTTCCAAGCAGCATGATGCACTGAGGGGAAGTGGCCTGCAGAGAAGTGCAGGACAGGCTTGAATCTCTGATCTGCATTTCCTCACCTGGAGAAAGTCACTTATTTTTGATTAGCTATGGTATTTCCTTTTATAAAATGAGATTCAGGCTACTTGCCTAGGGTTGTCATGATGTTTAAATGAGAAACATAAAGTGCTTGATTTATTCCCTCTCAAAGGTAGGCAGTGAAAGGTGGGTACATGTACACACACACACACGCCATAGAAAAGCATAACACATAAAATAGTTGCATACTGAAAACAAATATCTGTTAGAGTGATAAAAGTCAATGAGTAACATTCATCTAAATAAAGACAGTAGAATTGAATTACAGAGTATTGCTGAAAACTTAACTTTACATTATTTTCAAAAGACAAAATAAATTAAAAAGTGGATCAACAAAGCTGAACAACAAGGATGGGCAAGATCATACCAGGCAAGTATGAATAAAAAGAAAGCAGTATTTATGATCCTAGTGCCAGGCAACACACAAACCAGGGAAACAACTTTCCTGATTTGAAAGTAAGAGAAGATAAGCAACCTGTAATGACAATTATTTATGCAGCAAATAACACAGCATTAATACTTATGAAGCAAAAACTATAGGAAGTACAAAAGGAAGTAATGGTGAAGTAGATTTTAATTCCCTTCTCTTGATCTTGCTTGTTTCATGCCAGAGATAGTGAGGGAGAGTAAATGAGTCTAAGAAGTACATTAAAACGTACCAATGAGTTTAGTAGTATGCATAAGCAGAGAATACTTCCATGTTCAAGTGACCATGAAACATTCATAAATTTAATTACAACAAAATCTTTAATGAGCTGGGAGTGGTGGAACATGCCTATAGTCCCAGTATTTGGGAGGCTGAGGCAGGAAGATCACTGTGAGTTTGAGGCCACCCTGGACTACATACGAGTTCAAGGCTAGACTGAATTCCATAGTGAGAGCCTGTCTCAAAAAAAATCTTTAATGAATTCAAAAATTAAAAGCAATATAAACCATAATCTTTTATGTAGTTAAGATGAAATTAGAAAATCTGAACATGTATGAGTCCAAATTCAACTCTTTGGAAATAGTAACTCTGTTGGGTAAAAGTAAGAATAAAAACTAAAACTTTGGTGTTATCAGACATAATGTGTGTTTATATCATACAATGCAATAACAAGGTTAATTGTATAGTGTGTATATGTTTGCTATATACTTAGGCAGCTATTTCTCCTTTGACCTCTTCTGAGATGACCAGAGACGATTCAGTAATAGCTTTCAGAAACATCTAGGTTTAGTATGAAGAGAATGCGAATTTACTTCTCCTTTATCTGAAGAATCTAAATGATGCTCTAAACAGGTCATGTTATTATTTTTATCAACAGAGGAAATTTTTTGCTCTCATTAACTAGTGTTTTCAAAATCAAGGTCATCTAACAGGAGGAAAGTGACACCCAGAGATACTGTGTCCCCCTCAGGCAGCTCTACCTGGACCCAGTAGCCCCTCCCTGAATACCTGCCTATCCACTTTGTTCACCATCATGATCTCCTCCTGACCCTAGTTTGTTCAGGGGAACTGGTCTACCCCACCAGGGGCCTCAGGTTGCACAGAGTAGAATACCTTCAGAACAACAGGCTGAGGAAGGAGTATTGAGTGAGCAAGAAAATTTTAGCCTGAAACTCATGCTTTGACTAAAACATTTTTCTAACTTGATGTTTGTTTTTCACAGACTCCCCTGTCAACTCTTGGGATAGCACTGAAATTCCATAACTATTCAATAACCAAGAAGAGTGCAAAAGGCTGTGAGCATGGATGGTGGGAAATTAATGAGCACCTGTAGGTGATTTTCATTATATGAAGACTCTGATGAAAAGTTTACAACCTTGAGCTCCTTGCCCCAAACAGTTTGCATGTTATTATTTACAGAGAGGGAAACTGAGGGGTAGAATAATTAAGTAACCCACAAAAGACCACTAGGCTCCTGAGTGTTCAAGGCAGGATTCTAGTCCATGTCTTAGGGATTCTGCCTTACCTGTGCTTGATGGTGCAGGGCTATCAGTGTGTATTTTCTATACTTCATAGAAGTATTTGGTAGATAAAATTGTCAATGTCCTGGAGCTATAGGGAAAATAAAACAAATTATAGTACAAGAGTTTGAGGCCATTAGACAATCTTGTGTGGTAGGAGAGGCCTGATTGGACTGGCTGGACTCTAAGGCTGGGAAATGAATGAAGCTGATCAGAAAAAAATTCAGAGATGTGGGTTCTTGGGCTTCCTGAATCAACCTAGTAAGACCTCACTCTTAATTTGTCCCTTAAATTTTGTTTCTTTGTTTTTTAAAACTTTAACACGTATTCAGTAGGCATTCAGCTGAATCAGTATTTAAAAATACTGAATGCCCTTAATAGCTTCTCAGTTCATTTTCTCAGAAGAATCCTGTGATGTTAAAGGATTTGCTTGCAATTCTTTGCTCATTGTTATTGCATGAATGAAACCTTCCCTTTCTAAGTGCTTTTCCTGAACAGCCCTCTTTGAGTTCCTTTAGATGGCATACCTGCAAAATAGTCACTGGTCCTGTCTTCATGGAATAGGTCATACCATATTTGAAAGCATTCTTGGATCCATTATTAAAATGTAGCCTGTACTCCTTTTGGAAGCACAATTGACTCAAAGGCCTATATTGTAGGAGTCAGAAGTCCTGAGTTCAAATTCCAGCCATTAGTAGTTATAACTAGGAAAAATTACTTAACTTCTTTGATTTTCAGTCTGTAAAATCAGGCAATAATTTTTATTTAACAGGGTTTGCTAAAAGCATTGAATGAAACAATGCATTCTACACATCAAAAATATTAGCTAATGTAAGTAACAAGATTGTTTTGGAAATGACATTGGTGGATAAATACTATAGAACGCGCCCCACACTGCATTTTGGTACTTAATCAAAATAGAGATCCAGGACTCAAATCTGTGAAGCTGTAATCCAGTTACAGAACTGTGCCTTGAAAAGGAGAGATTTATTCCCCCCCTAAGTAAAAACAACCACCACCAGGATATGCTACTACAAGTAGAAGCAGAGTCTCCTCCCAAGCCAATACCAGGAAAGAAAGCTCTCTGCCTCATACTTTCCCTGTAGGGCCAGTCTTTAGGCTGGCTGAAATCATATCAGGTTCATTCCACGCTGATTGTACCTTTAGGATTTAAAATGCCCAGCCCTTCCCTTATCAGTCCTTTTTGTCTCAAAAGGAAAGGCTCTAATTGAACTAATCAGACACCTTGCTGAGAACTTGCTTAAGGGAACTGGGGCTCTAATGGGGAAGGAGGAAAAAGTAATGCTTCCAGACTGGAGGAAGCCTAAACCTCTCACCAAACGGAGGAGCAGGTCTGTATGCTCAGGGGAACTAGCAGACAGTGTATGAACCCTGAAGAAATAAAGCACTGTCTATGACTTCAGTAGAGCAAAGCCTGAAAAGAAAGCCTTTTAGCTGGGGATGTAACTCAGTGGCATAGCGCCTGCCTGGCAAGTGTGAGGTCCTGAGTTCAATCCCTGGTATTAAAAAAAAAAAAAGGAGGCCTTTTATCATGCAAGAAAGTGCCAGATGTGGGTTTTTAAAAATTAGTATTATTATTAGCATGAGTTTGCAGTACTTAATGATTACATTCATCATGGAGAGTTGGTACATGACACATCTTAATTCTTTTACATCCCCTTCCCGTTTCTCACTTCCCCCTCCCCCCATCTCTTAGTCTCCTTTCCAAAACCTGCCCTAGTTTAGCATCAGACAAATTTGTGTCCAAATCCTGGTTCCACTTGCTTACATTTGAACTTCTAAAAGTTATGTCCCTTCTTTACCTCTCACTTTCCTTGTAATATGTCTCTGTGTGTAAACTGACTCTTGTTGGGTTTCCCAATCACTCCCTTTTATACACTTTCTTTCTATAGGCTACCATTATATCCCACTGTATAATTCCCCATTTACACTGTAACCCAAGCATGGATGAAAAGATCCCTTTTTTGATTCCTCCTTAACACACTCCAGTGGGGCTCATCTTTGCAAGAAAATATAAAAAGTTAGTGGAGACGGCGAAAGTCACTGTGAGATATGGATGACATAATCATCATGTCTTCAGAGCATAGGATTCAAAGCCCAAGATGACTAACTAGCCTCTGGCTCCAGAAGCTTGGCTTGCCTCAGCCTCTGTCTCCCACTTGGCCAGGTGGCCACCTGCAGCTGTTATATTCTCCTCTTATCCCAGGGGCTGGCCTATCAGTCCTCCAGCCCCTGAATTTCAGTCAATTGCTATATTTCCTGAATTACATGTAAATGCTTGCCTCTCTCAAGCCTTACAGTCATAGACTATCTGTGCTCCTAAATGCCATTATCTGATCCATGGAACATATATGGTCTCCAAGTGCTCGAGTGATTGGTATTTATAGGGTCTAAAGAAGATGTCACCCCTAAGCCTTGTGTTTGTTCTCTGTTTCCCATGGAGACATGGCAAGTTTCACCCTGGGAAAAGCCTTGCCCCTGTGAGGTGACAGACTTTCTTATGAATCTGCAGTATAGTATAATTTGTACCCTATTTAACCGCAGTGCTCATATAGTAAGAATTATTCACCAGAGGGACATTTTTTTAAAAGGATACTGAAAAGCCTGGTGGCATCCAATGATGAGATGTAAGGGGAAAAATATCAAGGTAGGTTAATACTATAAAGAAACAGTACTTATATATCCAAGGAGAAGCCCGGAAATGCACATCAATTTTCAATTTAGACTGAAATAATGTTGTCTTTTGCTTCAAGTGTTGATGATATTCTTAGCATATTTTCAACCTGAGCTCAAGAATTCCACTCTGCTGTGCAAAGAGGTTTGTGAACAAAAGTAGGCAATTCTTAGTACTAGAATTTTTTATACTGAAAAAGGAGGAAAGACTGGAAGAATTCAATCTGTAATTTTGCTTATAGCTATTGGCAAGGAAAGCCACGGGTAGATAGTACCATTATTGATCCATTAGCAGGGGAGAAAATTGAGGGAGAAGTTCTTGGGTCATAGTCACAGAGTAGAGGTTGGATAACTACCATTAGCTCTACCATAAGCATCTCTGCTTCTACAGTCTGGTTGACCAAAGTTTTAGTCAATTCATTATCACTAGGAATGCAATTGACAGAAGCTTAAGCTGCATGTCCTCCTTGACTCTGTGTTCTCAGGTACTGTGGCTCCTACATGGATCACCAGACGATTTTCCGGGTGCCCAGCTCTCTGGTTTACATTCAGCTCCAGTGCAGTTCAAGGCTTTCGGACAAACCACTTCTGGTAGAATATGGCAGTTATAACATAAGTCAACGTAAGCTTTGGATTTGTTCCTCAAAAAGCCCTAATAAGTAGTAAAATGTAGGACAACATTGTAATCCTAAACCTTGAAAATATAAAAAATGAATATGACTTCATTTTTGTTATTTCCTGTTACATATTTTTAAAAAATGTAATACAAAGATAACAAATATACATATATAATTACATATTGCTGCTATATTATACATTGTAGAAAAATAATTTAACTTTTGGACATTACTAACTTCTAGTTGAAATATAATTGCTCACATCATTCCAAAAATACAGAATAAGACCATTTCTCGGTTTGTTGTATTTCTTGCTAGCCATAATTCTTTGGAAATATGATGTTTACACCAACACTAAGTGGATCTGAGGAAAACAGTTTTGATTCTCTTTGGCTTATGATACATGAGGGAGCAGGTCAGTTCAGAGTTCAAATATCAACCCTCAGAATGTTGAACTTGAAGTTGACCCTGAAACCACTAGAGCAGTGGCCAGGAAGTGGTTAGCAGAACAGGAATGTCTCAGTGGAGTCACTAGAGTGAAAGACTGGCTTGACAAATTCTAGACATGTTTGAAAAGGGTAAAAGTAAAGGTTACTCACTGAGAATTCTATGAGAATGTGACTTGAAAGAAGGCTCCTTTGAACATGTCCTTCTCTGCCATGTCTCTGTATTCTGGAATCACAATATTGTACTCTGAAAGCCAGAATATTATAATTTTCAGCAGACACAGGGGTAGTGAGCCCTCTGATTTCTAACTGTTCTTTCAAACTGTGACTGTTTTCTAGCAGGTCACCTATTGACTCCATCGTGTGTCCTTGAGACAGTAGCTGACCTCTCCCATTGTTTTGTACATGAAGAGGCAGGATCTATAAATATAAAGATGTCTGGGATTAATGATTTAGACCCAGGCTTGAAATGGGTTTTTCATGAGTCTGATCGTAGTGGAAAAAATGAGGGACAGTGAAGTAAGAGGCGGGAGTCCAGGGCTTTCTATAAGATCAGTGGTTACTAAGATATTTTGGAGCACAGCTCCCTTGAAAATGTAGTTAAAGGTCTGTGAAATAATGTGCCTGATCACAGAGAATTCAGAGACATCAGAAGTCAATTCGTAACTGCCTTAGAGGCTAAAGACTGTGCCTTAAGAATGCTTGCCTCTCTGAGCTATTTTTTAGCTTTCATATCTTCAAGTCTAAGATAATGATAAAAAGCTGAGTCAGAGTTGTGGAGGCAGCAGAAGTGTGATTGTACCTGTTACATGGATGTAATGTTCACTCAGAGCTTCTGTAGATTAACTCAGTTTTTTCTTTGCTTACTTAAGATTTCTTTCTTTTAATTACTGACAGCCTTGATGGCATGGAGAAATTGTATAATTACTCCTGCTACTTTGCCAAATCCCTAACCACTTAAGAATTTATATTTTGTTGCTAACGTGGTCTGGTGATTTTTAAGGACCCACCCAAGATTTTCTGTTTTTTATTGTCCGTAGCTTGTCCTGTTGGATCTTTTAGATGCTCCTCCGGTTTGTGTATTCCTCAGACTCAGCGCTGTGATGGAGTGAATGATTGTTTTGATGAAAGTGATGAACTTTTCTGTGGTAGGTATTAAAGCTTTTACTATGATCTTGTTATGAATAAGTAACTTCTCAGGAACATTTATGCTGCTGGCTTATAGCTTTAGTTTGTAGCTATTGCCAAGATTGCTACATTACAAACTGTCTCAACACCCAGTGGCGTAAAACAATCACTTATCCTTGGCCATGCCCTCTGAGGTGCCTGAGTGAGGCTGAGATCGGTGAGGGTGCCCCGCTTCAAGCACTGCTTCCTCCTGAGCTTGGATATTCACAGGTTGGGATCTGATCAACTCTTCATGGTTGTTTCTCTTGCTGACCTAGGGGACTAGTGTTTGGCAGTGACAGATGCAGAGAAGGGGAGACAGAAGCATATGTGTTTTTCTGGAGTCTGGGCTTGGAATAGTATGGGATCACTTGTATTATATTTCACTGTACAAAGCAAGTCACCAAAATCAAGCTGAGACCAAAATCAAGGTTTACCCTGCTCACTTTGGGGTCATGTCATAAATGAGGTACATCAATAGAACCACAGGGAATGAAGATCTATGGGTAATAATTGAATCCACCACAATCTTAAACACAACAATACTATTCAAAAGCACAGACCCTTCCTTTAGAGAGAAGCTCAGTATCTGGAAAGAATTCAGCATGCTTGTTTATGGAGCACAGGTGTTGTTTATAGATAAGTGTCTGTTGGTTTTTAACATGCAGAGTCTGCATTGATACCACATTGGTAATGACCAAGGGATGGGGTGCCGGACATTTCTATCTGGGAGAGAGAATCTGTCTTGGTTTTTTGTTATTATCTGCATCTTGTTCAGTCTTTCTTCATTTATGGGAGTAATATAGTGAATATAATTCACTGGACAATGTGACACTGTTGTCAACACTTTCAGCTAAAGGTTCAGAGCATTTTAAATATAATTGTGATCGTGTTGCTGCATAATCTTTTTCACATCTCTGGGGAAATACTACAATTAATATATTATGACTAACTGAAAAGTTATGTCCATGAAAAATAACCTGTGACTCTATACCTTTATATATTGACAAAACTAAATTCTCTTAAAGATTCATTGTCTTCTATTTCTTAAGAAAGTAACAGCTATTATATAGTGACTGGGGTGTTTTCTTTTTTACATTTTTGTTCTTTAATGTTCCAAATATCAGATTATTACTGTAACTTTATAATGAGGAAGATTTTTTTTGAAATCGTTACGTGCCATTTAGTCATTTTTCTGGAGTTAGTCTATAGGCACCAAGTAGTCATGCATGGAGACTTATCGAAGTATTTCAGGGCAGGAGTATCCTCCTATTGTCCCTTGGTGGGCGTGAGTGCAAAATAAGTCAGGAGATACTCTTGAAAAAAATGGGTACAGAGAATGAAACTTGATTCTTCCCCCAAAAAACTCCCCAAATCTAAAAATGCCTAAGAAATCATAACCTTCTAAAACATGCTTGCTAATACACTGTGCTTACCACTTGCCTAAGGAAATTAAATATTTCAAAGAAAAATGTGATGGATTTGCACTGATATTTGCCACTTTAGGAAATGTATCTCTCAGGATAAACTAAGTTTAAAGAGTTTCCTTACACAGCACATGTCTGTTGTCCTCTAAGATCTCATATTCATTAATTCATTCAGAAAACCTTTAGTGAGGACCTACTGTTTGGTCAAGGCTTGAAGGTCAGGTGAATAAGACAAAATCCCCAATTTCAGCATATTTTCACTTTCTTTAGGAAGTTAAACAAGTTTAATTTAGATAATAGCTTATGATATTTACTTTCCTTAAAATAGGTTGCTTATGATGCATTTCATTATAATTAAATAAACCATCAGAACTTAACAAATTTATATAATAGCAATAGCAAAAAATCAGGTCTGAACAGCCCACGTACTAGGAATGACATTGAAGTTTAAATACCTGCTTTTCCTCATGAGGGTGTCAGTTTTGAGGAAAATATATTCTCTGTATTATTTGTCATCTTAATGACTTGCACCATTAGAAAAGCAATGCTGTTATCAGAGAGTGCAGCGATGTGATGTGTTAGGCTCATGAGCTTTCTGTCTTTTCTCACCCTAGTGCCCATCAAACCTGCCTGTGATGTTACCCCCTTCAGGCAGCCTGGTCCTCTGGTCTGCGATGGTTTCCAGGACTGCGAGAACGGCCAGGATGAGCATAACTGCACGCAGAGTGAGGGAGGGAGTGCCACAGTGTGTGCTGCTCTCCCTTTAGATCATTGCTAAATCATAATCAAAACACATCTGCTGGGTTAGGGTGATTATCTTCCCATCCTAGTTCCCTCAGAACTTTTCCATTGTTAGTATGGAAATTCCTTTGTCCTGAGAATATCCTCAGTCCTAGACAAAGTGAGATAGTCGGTCCGCCTAACTGGGATGGAGTTGTGCATGTGTGCTACTGTATAAATCATGGCAGGTTTGTGTTGCTTCCTTGCTTTTAGCTCTACTGAGGTTGTAGGATACTGAGGACCTGATACAGAGGAACTTGCCAGAGACCATGGAGAGACATCTGTTCTAATCCCTGTAGAAATGCAAACCTCCAAGTTTGTGAACAAATGCAGTATAATTCACAGCATTTATCCATTTTTTTTTGTCTAATGATTTGAAAGGACAGAGTATGATAAAGGTTTTTGTTCAAAAAATGTTCTTAGAGAGCAAAACAAGGTGATAGAAAGAGGCCATGACCTAAAGCCACTGGTCTGGCCAACTCCTTTGCATCTCACCTACAGAGGAAGAAAGGAGAGGCAGTTATGATTCTCAACTCATGTGTCAGTTGCCTGCCTTTCCATGGCTTGGCTTAGCTGAAGAACAAGGTCACTGTGAGGTCGCCCCATTTCTCTCCGCTGTTTTTTCCCAAAGTGTCAAGTAGCAATTCAGTGGCTAACCCATCCTTTTTAGAATTTAGTGTCACTCACTCAAATCTGTTTCTAGATTAAAAGAAAAAACTTGCTTCTTTTATTCATTTTCAGGCATTCCATGCACCAACAGAACTTTTAAGTGTGACAATGATGTTTGCTTTAAAAAGCAAAACGCAAGATGTGATGGGATAGTGGATTGTCCAAATGGAAGCGATGAAGATAGCTGCAGTGAGTAGAAATTTGTTCTTTTTGATGCCTGTATTCCATCTTAATTTATCCATTTTCCATTTTTAGTCCCTTCTTGGTATAATTCACCCCACAAAGGTTGCCACTGACCCAAGGAGTAATGATAAATACTGTTGAACTGAGTCTGAAATTGTTTTTCAGAAATAAAAGCTCTAGGGTTTTATTCCATCTTCTCCTTTGATAAAGAGCATTAGTACACTAGATGTGTATAAAGAGAACAAGGAGAAAGTTCTTAAAATAACTTGTGAGAAAGGAAATATTGGGACTCAGTGGATGACTTTCAGATATTCTTTGTTTATTTTTATTTATTTTTTGTACCAGGGATTGAACTCTGAACCTTGTGCTTTCAAGGCAGGTGCCAGAACCACTGAGCTGAATCCCCGGCTCAGCTATTCTTTTTTTTTTTTGGTACCGGAGATCGAACTCGGGACCTTGTGCTTGCGAGAGAGGCGCCGGAATCACTGAGCTAAATCCCCGGCCCTCAGCTATTCTTTATGATATGAACAATAACTAGTTCTGTTTCTTTCTTTATCTAAGACTCCATAACTATAATCTCCCATATGGTCTTTTTGATCATATGGCCTTTATTTGGCTATGTGGCAACATGTTCCTTATATATCCTTATCACTACTATTTACACTGGAAAGTCATTATTCTGATAACTAGTTTTTCTTAGTAAGTTTGTATTTGTCTTTGATTTTAAAATTTCCAAAAGCTTTCTCTCAGATCAGCACTTCAAAGATATTTTCAAATTTGGTATATTTGGAATTTATCTCTTTCTCCCTACCTGCCAACCTAAGTCCACAGGCGGCCATTCATATCAGTCCACCTGTTAGCACAGGTCGCTCTGTGCCCACATGCATCATTATATAGCGACGCCAAGTCAGGAGGGCCTGCTGTAGGAAGGGGAGGAGTGGGCTGTTGGTGCTTGTTTTAGTCACACCCATAGATTCCCTCTTGTTTAGATAAACAGGAGATTTCATATTACTTTAGTGAGTCAGTTCCTAATTTCCAGTTCTCTTCCAAGTCTGGCTTTAAGTCATGTGACCTTTGCCCTATTAAAGGCTGCAGCAGGACTTCCTCGTCTCTGAACCGCATAGTTGGGGGAGCAGACTCGCAGGAGGGGGCATGGCCATGGCAGGTGAGCCTCCACTTTTTTGGATCTGCCTACTGTGGTGCCTCCGTCATCTCCAGGGAGTGGCTTCTCTCTGCAGCCCACTGTTTCCATGGAAACAGGTAAAGTATCCCAACCCTTGTTCTCAAGTGGTGCACTCTGGCCACAGACCACACCCCTGCCATTGGGCTGTGGGGAGAAACTCTGATTGGGGACAGTCAGTTTGCAGGACTTCTGTGTGTGAGGGTAGTGGGAGGAGAGGGAGACCAGCTCTGCATCAAACATTTTTATAATTGCATTACTGATTAAAGGAAAAAGAATATGAAGCATCAGGAATCAGTAGGCTTCACTGGGGAAGTAAAGATCGGGCTTTCAAGCCAGAGGGGCAAACCTGGGGACTGTGTGGAGAATGTAGAGAAGGGTGGCATTGGAGGGTGCCTGGAACAGAGGTCCCTGCTGGACTGGGACCAGGGGTGTCGTGGGAAGGACCATTAGGACTGGCATTGGTGGAGCTCTGTCTGCTTTTGCCAATTAAGGGATAGGTGCCCTTCTAGCTAAGAGTGAAAGGAAGGTGTAAAATTCAAACTTATTTGAAATCTGTTGGATCTTAGGTACCAAAATAATTTCATTCACTTCTCATTGTGACTTTTAAAAATGGAGTTATTTCAATGAAGTTATATAATTTGACTATTTGCTTTTCCAGGAAATGACAAGATTCATGTTAATTACTAAAACCACTTCTGTTTGTTGATTTGTCTTAAATGCTGTGGAACTGCTCTAAATAATATATTAACTGGAATATTCTTTTGGGTCTCCATTGCCACTCATGAAATATTAGCTGAGAGGATTAGTGACCACATCCTCAGAGCTTCATCCTTATTTTTCTTCAAAAGCTTCCACATTCTCTTAATTTCCACTCTTCTCCCTGGGTGCTATGCTGGTGGAGATTGAAGCTTCAGATGGAGACTGAAAGCCCATCTATGACTTGTGCAAGGCTGGGATTGGGATTGGAATCAAGATTAGAGTCCTGGGAGTACTGATCATGGGGCTGGAGTGTGGTGGCCGTGTGAGTGGTCACATTTGAGCATAAGAACAATGATCTATAAGGCTTGGTAGCTTGCAGGAAGGAATTTCACTGAATTCCTGCTTAAAACGCTAGTGTCTAATCTATCTTCGTGTTCACATCATTTGAATTTGGTAGATGTGCTCCCAGACCTCCACTTCACTGGCACTGTCTCCATCAGATGCCATTGTCAGCATGAATAAGAAGGACATAACAAATTAATTCTAGTTATCCACATTCTTGACCTGTGTGTGGTTCATAAAATACTACTGACAAAAAATTTCCGGGCATTTCTCACAATGATGTTGGGAGGATTTTCTGGAGCATAGTTACAACTCACTATTCCTGTAACAGCTTGCTTCATCTCTGGTTTCACAGAGAAAGGCAGGCTCAGAGAAATTGTGCTTCTTGCCATGTCCCTGAGCAGAGCCACTCTCCAAGACATGACTCCTAGGAATCAGCCCTTTCTTTTCTCAGCTCCATTTCTCTGTAGAGTGCTTGATTCCAAATTGCATATGGGCCTTCAAACTACTAATGTGGAATTTCTTTCCTTTTCCATTAGGCTGTCAGACCCCACTCCATGGACTGCTCACCTTGGGATGTATGTACAGGGAAATGCCAAGTTTGTCTCTCCAGTGAGAAGGATTGTGGTCCACGAGTACTATAACAGCCAGAATTTTGACTATGACATTGCTTTGCTACAGCTCAGTATTGCCTGGCCTGAGACCCTCAAACAGCTCATTCAGCCAATATGCATTCCTCCTGCAGGCCAGAAAGTGCGCAGTGGGGAGAAATGCTGGGTAACTGGCTGGGGGAGAAGGCATGAAGCAGGTGTGTGTATGAATTAATTGTCAAACCCTCCCCTCACAGATGATAGTAACTTGTGTTGATGTGCTTTGGGGTTCCCGGACATAGTTTGTATATATTGTCTCCTTTGGGCCTCTTGACATCTCTGGGAGGTCAGATTGGAGGAGGGCATTATTATTTCTGTTTTAATGATCCTTTCGATTTGATCTAAAAGAAGCAGGACCCAGATGATAAATTGAGAGAAAGGGATTGACTAGATATTATGGGCCCTTTTCAAACTCTGAAGCACAGTGCTAAATTTTCCACTATAGAAGAACAATTTCTCTTTATTCTTAAATTCTCTTTTTATCTGAAGGGGTGACTCATTATTATAAAAGAGAGGACAGACATATGCACACCCCACTGTGTCAACTCAGACAACTGTCTGGAAGTCATGCAGGTATGGCCGGTACCAGGGCTGCTGCCAAAGGATGAGAGTGAGGGCTGAAGCACAGCCTTCCCTTAGCTCTCCAGACAGCAGAGTCAGGCCTGAAGGTTACATTAGTCTAGAACTGATCCATCCAGGGTGGGGGGTGTCTTTTGCAATTTGTCCACCCAGAAAAGATATTTTTTCAGTATGCACAAAGGTCAGGCTGTATGGTAAGGAAGCCCCTCCAGCCACACTGCCAGTTTTTCATGGTGCAGGATTCATGGTTGGTTCTGAATATATGGTGAGGGTAAGAATGCAACTTTACAAAAGTCTTCCCACAGATTAGTCCTAAAACTTTCCTTTGATTTTCCAATCAACTCAGATTCCTTTTTCTTTTCTAGGGCTTAGGACAGATACAGTGTCCTGAATCCTACTCTCCAGCTTACTTTGATCTTCTCTAAAGATTTATTGTGGCCAGTTTCTCAAATGGTCACTGCCCTCATTTAGTTATGGAAGCCATAATAGTCATTACCAGTTTGGATTTGCTGAGATGTCAGAGTTTCATTGAGAGAAGGAAGCTAACCATCTGAACACCTGAAATGGATAGGTTTCTGTACTCAGTGCTTTAATTACATTGTCATATATCACAAGAGGAGAGTTTACTCTACCAACAAGACATTTTCTGTGTGTGTGCACGTCTGTATTTTTTTCTGAATCATCTTAGTCATATAGGTTAAAAAGGAAGTGAAAGAACAATTCTACAACAGTTAAGTTTTTATGGCTCCTTGGAGACTTGTATATATCAGTTATGCTTCTCCTTTTAAGTAGCCCTCCTGAAAAGTAAATATTGGTTGATACTAATAGTGGCTGACTCATAGTACTCTGAAAGTGAGGCAGGAGGCAAGGAGGAAAGATTCCTGGGAGAAAAAAAGTCCTGAAGGCCAGAAGGAAAAAGAAGAAGCTGACTTCAAAAACCATAGAATTCTGACATCACAGCCGGGAGGCCCATGATAAGCTCTTTGGAAACCACAAAGAGCACCCATCTCTAATGAGTAAGCCATGCCTGGGGACAGATGCATTATAGAATATCCTATACAAACAAAAGTAACCTCAAGTCAATTATAATTATAATCTCATTTATGTTGTGTTCCATAGCCCTCTGGGTTTTGGGCACCATGAAAGTTCCTCAATGATCCATAAAGGGACAAAAACTCTCCCCCTCCAACAGAAAGGAGGAGACTTGTGAATTGCCTTTTCAGTTCAAAGAGCTCCTCCCAGCCTGTAAAGGTTACATATAGGCTCTGACACCTGGCTTTTTCAAGACCACAAACTCTTCACTGGCCCACTCCCACCCTGACGAACATATTCTGACTAATAAATCTGTGCTTTCACTTTGTGTCCAACTCAATTCTTGGAGATATCAAGAACCTAAGACAGTCATAACTGTGGACAACAAAAGGAAGAGGTACTTGGTGAAGGAGTGGCACAACGACTCAGGTGAGGGAGGCTGACCTTGGGTCTGAATCCTGCTGAGTGCTAGCTGTGTGCCCCTGGGAAAGTTGTTCAGTACGCTAAACCTTAATTCTTCATCAGCAAAATGGGAAAATCAGAATTTATCTCAAAGAATTGCCCTGAAGTCTGTTTTGACCATTTCAATGAAAACTTGGAAGTATGATTATTATCAGCATCATGATTTCTACTTCCAATGTGTTTTCCAGATAATAAAGGCTCCCCTATTTTGCAGCAAGCAGAAGTAGAACTCATTGATCAGACCCTCTGTGTTTCCACCTATGGGATTATCACTTCGAGGATGCTCTGTGCTGGAGTGATTTCAGGCAAAAGAGATGCCTGCAAAGTAAGTCATTTTCCCTTTCTCCCACCTGTGTACTTCCCATAAATGCTTTCTTTTTTAACCTACAAACACTGGGAAAAAACTAGGGCAAGTATTCCCCTTCTCTGATCTGAGTGGCTCAGGTATTAATTGTAACCTAATTAATGGTTTTGCCTAAGAGCAGGTAAAGATGGTAAAAGAACTGGTTTTATAGAATCAGTTTTCTAGTATGCCTGGATTTTCCTCCGACATTTACAGGATGAGGTCAACATTTCTCGTGCAGTCTCAATTTTGTTATAACCAAAAGCTAAAAAGCAAAGCGCAAAAAAAAAAAAAAAATAAAGACACACAGTGTTTCAGGATTGCTACTTATTTCCTTTGTGGCAGCTATTTAACTCTAAAATTACAAAGGTCTCATTTACTTACTCCCTTGAAGCATAGGTTAAAGGAAAGAGAGGAGGAATGGGAGAGCTGACAGAACACTCATATGGGGGTCTCTGGGAAGCCCCCAGGTGGAGTGTACAATGGAAAATCACCTTGGGACAGGGAAGCTTCTCTGAGCCAGAGATTCCAGTCTATGCAGACTTGATCACCGAAGAGTAAACAGATGATTGAGAGGATGTGAAGGACACTGGGAGCTGGTTTCACATCTTTCCACAACTTTAGCCACAGTGCCACAAAAACTCATAATAAAGTCTTCAGTCTTTCAAGATTCTATTTTATGGCAGGCACTATGCTGGGTCCTTTATATAAATTCATTCAAATCATTCTTTTATATCAATTATACAGAAAGGAAAATGGGTCATGGAAAGGGTAAGTTGATTACCCAAGGTCATACAGCTGGCAAGTACAAATGTCTGGGCTGGGATTTGAATCTTTGCTTCTTTATTGCTAAAGCTACTATGTTTTGGGTGTTTCCTGCCGCTGATCAGTTACATGGCCCTGTCCACATACCCACAAAGGTTTATACATTAAATTACTGTGCATTTAGTAGATATGGAAACAATTAAAATAAAGAGACCAATTTCCCAACTAGTCAGAATTTATCAAATCAATCCTAAATTTACCTTCCCATCCATAAATTTGTGTGTGTGTGTGTGTGTGTGTGTGTGTAGTAAAGATACAAATTTGGATTCCTTCTTGTCTTTGCTGCTGAGTTAGTCATAACTTTACTTGCCTTCCAAAATAGGAAAATAAAACTCAGGCATTATATTAAAAGATTAATGCCATACAAATTAAGTTTAAACTTTGAAGTATTTGAACTTTTTTTATTAACTATATTGGAACATTTAAGGTATACAATATAATGACATTCATCGTTGGAAATTTGCACCTTTACATAATCCATCTTGGTTCTTATATTTTCCCCCTTCCCCTGCCCTCCCTTCAACCCCTCCATCCCTCCCTATTTAGAAAGACTTTGTTTCCATTTTTTTACATTTTCTCATTTTAATTCCATTCCCTTCTTTCTTTTCCCCTACCCCTCTTATTTCCCCTTCCCCTTTGCACCTTTTCTTCCTATTTCACATTATCTATTATACCTTTTAGACCTTATTTATACTCTCAGTTTCTCATACTAGAGAAACTATTCAGTGTTTACACGTGTGTCCTATTTATTTCACTTAAGAGTATTGCCTCAATGTGCATCCATTTACTTATAAATGTCTCTAGTTTCTCATTTTTTATGGGTGAGTAAAATTTGAACTTTTGCTTTTTGGAGTTGAGATGTCAAAAGGGAAACTCAAATAAAAGTAGTCTATGAAAATTGTGGGCCAGTGGCTGTTAGGGCTGCTTCGATGAATGCAGCTGAATCTTTTCCTTCCTGAGGCCATGAGCCAACTGCTAAAGTTTCATGGCCCAGAGATAGAAGTCAACCTTCCAAGATAATTATAAGGATGTTGTGAGGATTAAATGACCTAAAACAGTGTTTGCAATGTAGCTAACACTAAATAAATGTAAGCCTTTACTACTGCTACTATTATTACTACTGAAGTTTATTGGGCGGGGTTAGGTGAAATTTGCTTTATCTTGCAAGAATTTACTAATATTATTCTTAGTCCAAAGAATCAATTTTTTTTCAAGGAATGGAGCTATTTGGTTATGCACCAAAGAATTGTGTAATTATTAAATGGTATAGCAGTATCACATTATTTCTTGCTTTTTTTTTTCTTTTTTTGAGAGAGGGTCTTGCTATGTAGTTCAGCCTGCCCTTAAACTCACTATGGAGCCCTCACTGGTCTCAAACTCATGGCAATCCTCCTGCCTCAGCCTACTGAGTGTTGGGATTTCAGGCTTGCACCACCATGGCCTGCTCACATAATTTCTTGACACTTCCTGAACTGTCTAGTGATTAGCCAACCGCCCCCCCTCCCCAAAAAGTTAGAAACAGAATGTATTAGACATATGATGAATTTGATGACCATGAGACAAATGTTTTCATGATGTCTTTTTGTGTAGGGAGATTCAGGTGGACCTTTATCTTGTCGAAGAAAAAGTGATGGAAAATGGATTTTGACTGGCATTGTTAGCTGGGGACATGGATGTGGAAGACCAAACTTTCCTGGTGTTTACACAAGGGTGTCAAACTTTGTTCCCTGGATTCATAAATATGTCCCTTCTCTTTTGTAATTTATACTAGTTAGATTTTTAAAATTGTTATTTATGTGATATTCTTTTGAAAGAATGAAATAATTACCAATAAAATGAGTCATTTAATTTTTTTAAACTGGTTATATCAGAGTGTACATGTTTAATTTTCTCTTTTTTGTTTTTATTTTTTATTAGTACATGTTTGTAGTACGTAATGATTACATCCCTTGTGGGAAGTTGGTACATGTTCATAACACATCTCAATTCTTTTTTCATCCCCTTTCCTTCCTCTCTTCCCCCTTCCCCCATCTCTTGATATTCTTCCCATTTGAAAAAGATCTATCTCTAGAGCTGGGGATTTAGCTCAGTGGTTCTGCTACCTGCCTTGCAAGTGCAAGGACCTGAGTTCAATCCCCAGTACCCCCCTCCAAGAAAAAGATCTATCTCCTATCATCTATCTTTTATTTTTCTCTTTATTATTTTGTGTTTCTCATACAAGAGGAATCATGCAATATTTAAGTTTATGTGTCTGATTTATTTCACTTAACATTATGGTCTCAAGTTGCCTCCATTTTCCTATAAATGACTCGTTTGTCCTTGTTTATTAAAAGACATATTACTCTATCTTCCATAAAAATTGCTCCTATGATATAGCTGTATTCATTCTAAGACATCAGAATGTCATTGATTCAGGGATGAAGAAACCTAAAGTAATCTCATGAACCAATTCTCTAAAATATAAAAGAAATGAGGGACACATTCAGGTATTCCTACTTTATGTTTCTCTGTGTGGATATTTATAAGGATTGAGTCAAATTTGAGTTACTGTAATAAGAAATTCCATTTAGAGCCACACCTGACCATTAGCATTCCCATGAAATTAAATAAATAAAAAACTTCACAAATGCAAATAAAATAAAACTCTATTATTGTCAGAATAAGCACTCATATTGTTACTTTCCAGTCCTATTTCATCTAACCATGACATAATGGGTCTTTTTCAGCAATGGCACATGGTAATGTTGTGGATGGAGAAATCAACCAACCAACAAAACTGAAAGTTAGGCCAGGATTTAACTCAGTGGTGCCACTGCCTGCCACACAAGCGCAAGGTCCTGAGTTCAATCCCTGGTACAAAAAAAACAAAAAACAAAAAATAAAAAACTGAGAGTTAGCAACTTTTATTAAAATGGTAGAACGAAGCATTGTGGAAGTTGGACTGAAAACACATAAAGGGGATTTGAAGATATTGAGGTAATGCTGGTCAACAGTGAAAAGATGAATTTTTAGATGGCTTTTGTGAAAGTGAAAATTTTCACACATATTGTCATCTGGGTTTTTGTTCTTTCATAAGACCCCAATGGACAAGACTTTCTTTTGTTTTGTTTATAATACCTTGTATAGTTGAAAACCTACAGTACACTCACAGTACATCCTAGTTCATGACTTATTTTGATTCAGTGGACTTCATTCTTGATCTCATAATAATCTCTTCAATAACAGGCCAGAGTTAACAGTACCAAGAAACAGGCTAAAACATCAGAAAAAAAGAAGAATGTTATTATTTGCTTTTCCTGGGACAAAATCAAAGGAGTAATAATACTAGTATTAAAGAAGGTTCAAAATGCTCCGCACAACCTCAGAAAATCTTAATGCAACAGCAAAAAGGAGGGAGAGCAAAAGATGTCATTCCCCAAATTGGGTACAAATATAGAAATATTGGTATGATTTCCCTAATATAATGAATATTTTCCAGTTTACAGAATATATTTTGATTTGGTAAAAGACTCTTCATAAACATCTCAAGTATAAAATACCTTAACAGATACTTCTCTGAATAGATCCCTAAGGGTTTAGGAAACAGGCTATGCAATTAAGTGAAATTCAAAGGACCAAGTGTACCACTTAATTCACAAGGTGAGACTGACCTACTAAATCCAGTTTATAATGGCAAATTAGGCTGAAAGTTCTTATAATCTAGGTTATTTTGGTATGGCTGTGACTTGTGTATAAGGTGAATTGTACTTTTTACTTTATGAACATCTCTAAGGTCTAGAATTCCTATTCAGAAAATAAAAACCAGACATAACTTTGTGATCTTAATTACGGGTAGAGAAATGCTGGCATGAGCTATCAGATTCATTGGAGGTAGTTTCTGAAGCCACACTTGTGCACTACCACTACAGGCACTTGCTAGTACCAATTGAGTGCATGTATGTGTTCCTCAGCACTGTGGGGTGGGAAAATGGTTGATAAACATATATTGCTTGGATAGTTCAGTCCAACATAGATATCTTTAAAACCTGAATGATGACATGGGAATACCCTTTCATTCTTGCAAAGGTGTGAATTATGGCAAATCCCCAAATAGGTTTTGTTAGGGGAGTGGAATGGGTTCTATAAACCAAGACAGGAATATTTCATATGTCATTTATAGGAGAGAATTTGCAGGAACTCTTGCCACTCTTCACAGTGCCTTGAAAACTGCAAAATGAAGCATCACAAGCCATTTCTCAAGTGTTTGCTGCCTGCAAGTGGCTAATCCACTTGTTGCTATCCATAATAGTAGTACTGCTTGCTGTCATTGAACATATGGGTACAAACTGTTATGTTTTCAAAACTTACAAACCTATCTGAAGGTAATGAGATGCTTTGGCGTACTGGTGAATCATTGATACTGTTACTATATTTTTTGGTTAATATGAAAACTATTTGGGAAATCACTTGCTAATAAAGGAGATGAATAAAAAAAGAGAAAGTACTATGACAAGAAAAGCAAAATAGAAAATCTTTTTTTGGTCTACAAACCTCAACAATAATTATATTTTAATTTTTTAATGTTTACATTTGAACAATCTAAATCTCTTGAACAATCTAAAGCAACTGAGTCAATAATAATTTTAATTATATTAAAAAATAACTGGAATAACAATGAAGTTTAGAAAGCAAACCTTGTAGAAATAAATTCTAGAGAAATTATAAAAACAGTCTAGGTAGGGTTTGTCTCCTCATTTACAAATACTTAACTTTCTAAGGAGTTTTTAATTTAATTTTTATTTAATTTTTTTATACTGCTGGGGATTGAGCCCAGAGATGCTGTACTACTGAACTAATCTTCAGTCTCCTTCCCGCCCCACCCCCTTTTTTAGTTTGAGACAGGCTTTCCCTAAGTTTCTAGTGCTGGCTTCGAATTTGAGATCCTCCTGCCTCAGTTCCTGAGTAGCTTGGCTTATAGGTGTGTGCCACCATTCCTAGCACATTATTAGTCTACATCCAGTTTTACCTTTGGAGGGAAATACTTCTTTCTAATTCAGTCTCACTCCTTAGTTTGGAATCAAGCCAACAGGATAAAGAAAGTCCTCAGGCAGAAGTTGGGACACATCTACATTCTAGGTCAACCGGTGATTAAGAAATCTGCAGTAACTAGAAACAGGAACAGATTTGGAATCAGATTTTAAGTAGTTCAGGTAATACTGGAAGGTGTCAGCCAGTGACAGTGACCAGGAAAATATACAAAACAAGAAGATAAATAAATTTTGAAAGAACACATAGTGAATCAAAGGTTAGTTGTTGGTGCTAAGCATTGGGTGTTGGTGGGTATTAGTTAAAAATATGTATTAGTCATGGAAAGAAGGGGGCATTTACTAAGGTCTTGCTATGTTCAGGTGCAGGACTAAATGCTTTAATTTTTTTACTGGGTAGGAATCATTTTACAATGATGGAAGAAGTTAAAGACACTAACAACTTGCCAAAGAGCACTGATAGAATCTAAATTGGACCCTTGCTCTGCTCACCTGCCTTCAAGACCTATATTCCCCCACCCCCATATCACAGGGACATGATCAGGGGATGGAAATGTGGAAATGCATCTGAGTCTAGGAAATAAGCAAACTTTGTTCCACAGTACATAGAAGCCATCAGAAGATGTGGCTTCTAGTGAGCCTGTAGCAGGAGCAGCTGCCCTCTGGTTCTCTGAAGGACAGAAGATTGTGGTAACTTTGCATAGAGAAACCAGAGTTGGAGATAGGTACAATACACTGGACATGAGCAAATCTCCCTTTGAGACTGAGCTTCTATAATCATGGGAACCATGAGAAAAGTTATCTGGGCCCTCTGTCAGGACAGGAGTCAGGAGTGTGAGAGGTCTTGGTGCTTCTAGAGGAGTCTGTAGTTTTTGGTGACGCAGATCCCATCACAATTCCCCTTCTGTCTTCAATGGCTCCAACTCTTAATCAAATCTAGCCCCTTTTTGGCCTAAAACTGCTTAACAGCTCCCTGCTATTGCTCTTCCCTGGGTGCCTCAGCAATCCTTCTTGATTCCCTTAATTTTTGCTCCTTTGTTAATAAATTCTCTTCAAAAAACCCAGGTGAGAATGCAGACTGATCCCTTAGGATCTTTGTGTTAAAACAGAGAGCCAAAGTCAGAGCAGGCTAGCAGCTGAGTCACTGCAGCTAGCAGGACTCCCTACTGCAGATGGATGGCTGAGTCTGTCAGGAGTCATTCTATATAATTTTGGGGAAAAATCATTTCATAATTAAACTAGGGCTGTCTGAGGCCTAGTCTTCTTGACTGAGGGCTGGTATGGCACGTGGAAATATGACTCTGTTTTGGCTTCAGTCCCAGCTGAGGGCTCAATGGTCCCATGATGCTGTGATGCTCAAAGGCAGGATTACACTCGCTGAAGACATCCTGTTTCTTTGAGAATCAGATAGTAATAAAAAAAGAAAGGATTCACCTGGGGAGGGACAAATTCCTTATCAGTGTAACTCATCCCACCTACTGTTGTGAGAACCTTTTGCTCATCTCACCATCCTAATCGATACAAGCTCATCAACCTAAGATCCTCCTCCTCAGCATAAGATCCTCATCAATTTAGAATACCTTGCTGCCCTGGGTCATCTGTTACTCCCTCGAATTACTGTATGAACCCAATAAATAATGGCTAGCTCAGAGTGTCTTTGCCCACTCTGAGGCACTGAACCCCCGCCCCCCCCATACACTTTGAAATTACACAAGTCTATTGTCTTTCATTCTTTAGCCCTCACTGTGCCTCTTTCTAGGCAGTTGGAGGGTTGGCCCTCCAACAGGAGTCCACAGCTGAGATACTTTGGTCAGATGCCTGACCTTGGGGGACAGGATATTGAGGCAAAGTGTCAGAAGGTACGATTGCAGGTACCAGAATTTTGGACACAAGTCAACATCTTCTGAAGTGGAGTTTATCTACAGTGTTTCTGATTCCCAAACTGATAATATTTGTGTGTACTGAGGGAAGGTGAGAAATAGCACAGTGGATAGCTATGAACTATGGGAGGTCAGGTCTTTGGGCCAACACACATCTGCTTTGCAAATATAATTCCCGGCTCACTAAGCCAGAAGAGGTGCACTATGGACAAAGAGTGGAGGGGATGAGAAGTGTGTCCCTGTGCCCAGGTGCTTCTTCCTTAGGTGTGCGTGCGGGGGTATGTATGACGTCTCACCAACTTCTATGAGACCTTGCTGTGAACCAGCCAGTGCTCTGAGGGCTTTTCTTACATCCACTCCATTAGGGTGGACTAAAATCTTGCTGGCTCTCCAGAACAGGACCCTGGCAGAGAAAGTTGAAGCTCGAGGTCTCACAGTTGGGAAATTTTGAGTGGAGAATCACCCAGGTACCTCGGTTCTAGAGCCTGTTGTCCTCACCACCACTCATAGTCTCTGTGCCGAGCTGTAAGAGGAAGTGCATTATTCACCTTCTTATGCTCAGAAACTAGCATGATGCCTGCCAAGAAGGAGATGCTTCACAAGTTCTGGTTGATTCAAAGGATGAGCTTTAGGTAGGCAGCAAGATCTGGGCTTAGCAGCAGCAACACACACTCCTAGGGACAGACGGGAAACTTACTGACCACGGGACTGCGCGGCCGGGCCATGGCTTTGTGACCACAGCTGTGTGCGTAGGCACCAGCAGGGAAAGGCACGGGAGGCAGCGCCCTGCTGAACAAACCAGAAAAACAGCCCTCCTCTGCTGGAGCCCACAGCCGGCACGGGCGCAGCCGCTCAGCCCGGCAGGAACAGGGGAGCCCAGGGCCCCGCCCCTGGCTGCCCGGCCCGAGGCCCCACCCGGTGGGTGGAAGGGAGCCCGCGGCGCCCGGACTCTGCACCCTCAGACACGGTCCTGCCTCCGCGACCGCCCGCAGCCTCCCCTGCCGGCCCATGGAAGGGGCCGGGCCTTGGGCGCCCAGGGACGAGCTGGAGCTGTCGGAGGTCGGGGAGCAGCCGGAGGAGCAGACGCCTCTCAATGGAGCGCTCCAGATCCTAACTTCCTCGGCCGAGGACCCCTGCCCACCCCAGGTAAGGTCTCCTTGGCTCTGGCCGGACCCGGGCGTAGGGTTCTGCCGGACGCGGGACACTGAAGGGGCGCGACTTCTGGACGCCCTGGGCACCCCGACCCCGGGGGCAGTTTAGGAAGCTTTGTGGTGAGGTGCGGCCGCCCCTTTATCTCTATCTCTGTATCCCAGAGATACAGGTGGTTTGTAAAGTTATAGGTAACTGCATTAGGTTTTTCTTTTTCAACCAGGGGGAAAAGACTGATAGCCATTCTCTCTCTTTCTTTCCCTCTTTCCCCTTCTCCCCTTCCCCTCTCTCTCTCTTTCTCTTTTTTTTTCTTCCATTCACTGAAAGTCCCATATCCACCTTCTCCTCCCTCTCCCTAATCACACCCCTCCCTCCCCCAAAGCTTTCTGTTTTCTCCTCCTTTGGCAGGGAGAGAGATATAGGAAGACAAAGCAAGAACAAGAGAGCCAGAGGCCGTCTTGGGGTGGGATGGGGTGAGGAGTGAGAACTTGCCTCCTCCTTTGAAGGGGAATCCTCTCAATGTTCTCCTCCAAAACAACTAGACTAGCTCCATTTACTTTTTCCTCTTTTTCCTCTCTAAGGAAGCCCTTGGTGTGTTTAGGCTGAGCTCTTTTCTGATGCAACCCTAGCAGTGATGGAATATTATTCACTCATGTCAAATACTTGTAAAATATCAGAGACTTTGATTTCTGAATTAACCTCTTCATATTAACCCCTAAGATTGGCTTGAGGTTTACTAGGAACTGGGAACTCCCCATATCCATAATTTTGTCTTGATCTTCCTAGGCCTCGCTCCTTCAATTGCACCTCTTTGGTTGCACAATTGATTTTAAAGGAAAGCAGGAAACTCAAACTTTGTGCTTTTGTTCCACACTGATCCTAGAAATAGTGTACTGTAAAGTCTGCTTTTATGGGTACCCTGGAAAGTAAATTGGTAACTTGTATTTGAGTGAAATAGAGCCCCAGGAGAATGAAGTTTGGAAAAGATGGCTGCTCAACAGAGCTAGCGGCTATAGCTATGAACTAGCTGTGGTCCAGGCGTGGGCATTTGGAATGCTTGCCTCACATTAGCTAGACCCAGTGCACCCCAAAGACTCCAAGGTTTGAGGCTGTTCTGGTGACAGCTTTACCAATAAAAGATGTGCTCCAGGCTCAAGGCTGTCAAATGATGTGAATGTAGTGTACCCCACTGGGCTTCTGTGAGGCCTGGAACAGCTATGGAAGGAGGTATAGTTGGGGACTAGCACATGCCAAACCCATGTCAGCTAGTAGTGTTTTATAATTTTTTATCCTTCACCTTGAAGAGATTGCTCATTCATGTTCTGATTCCTTGTTAGTCAGATATATATACAGATATTCCAGACTTCCTTGTCATTGAGCTTTGTAGGTCACCAAATCAGAAAGGTATGGTGACTCACAGAATAGAAGAAAGGTGAAGAAATACTTGAACAAGGAAAACCTTTTTTAAAAAGGTAGTGATGGGGTAGAATCCCTTACCTAATAGGTTAGTCATTCTCTGGTTCTATAGAATAAATTGAAGTATATTTCAGTTTGAAAGATCAATTAGTGTGGGGTCATTAAGTATTGGTCAGCATAACCATGTGATTCAGACACTTAAGAATTTTAGTATGTGGGTCCATAAGACTGTGTATCAAGAGTCTCAGTTTTGAGATATAATTTAGGTCCATGTACTTTAACCTTTTTTATACATATCATATGCCAAACATTGGTAATACATAAATTTATATATCATAACAAACTTAAGAGGAAGGTGCTGATATTCTGATTAAATAGATGAAAGAACTGATTGAAGAAACTGAGTCTCAGATAAGTTCTTAAAATACTCAGGTTGCTCAGTGGTATCCCTGAAGTTTGACCTCAAGTTTCAGAGGCCTCAGGTCTATGGTGATGTCATTGATTCCATCTATCTATCTATCACCTTTTTATCATCTATCACTTAAATGTATAAATATAATAATTCTTATTTATGTATAGTTGCATAAACTACAAATTATATATTGCTAATCTTGGTAAATTAGGTCCCTTATAATCAGGTAACTTAAGTGAACTATGGGGGGTTGAGTGACACTTCCTGGCTGAGGAGGGTGTTACAGGTGGATGGGTGGGAGGAGGGAACACTTCTGGATCATTGGAGGAGGACAGACCACTGGTATCTGCTTACTTGGGAGAGCTGGGCTGTAGGAGTATACAAAGAAGGTAGAGAGAATTTTTTACCCCCTTTCTCAATCTGAGTTTGGGGCTTACAGGAAAAGGAATATTAGCCACTGAGCTCCACTTTGTCTGCTGTCACAATAAGCATGTCAGTATCATTGGGTCAAAAGTGAAAAGGAAATTGTAGGCAACAGAATGAGACTGGTTTTCTTTTATGGCTTGTGATAAGGGCCCTGACTCATAAGTCTGGGGGCCATATGAAGTGATAGTAGGATGGTCACCATAATAATAAAAAAGTAAACTGGTAGTTTTGAGGCGAGCAAGGCTTATTTGAAGGAACTAGTTAAAAATTCACCCCATTGCTACACATTATTCACCAGTCTGGGACAGGGATCAGGTGGCTCTTTTGTGCTTGGATCAAACATATGAATTAAATTCCACAATAAAGATGAAAAAGTATAGAGTTTCTTATGTCTAAGAAAAATTTCCCTGATCTATACAGTATTTGCTCCTGATTGGACCAGGGAAGAGCTTTTTGGACCCAAGAGATGGCCAGTCCTGCCATTGTGGTTAGATTTCTTGTACCAGGGGGAGTGTTCAGAGGAAAGCAGCCCACATCTGGAGCCCTATAATGCAGTCAAAGAGTTCAGATGCAGCTTGCAAGTATCTCTGGAAAGCATCTGGTGAACAACCTGCCTGTGGCCTCTCATGATCTCAAATTGGGCAACAGAATGCAGAAGCCAGTGAAGGAGAGAGTATATGTCTTCATGGTCCAGTTTTGAGGGAGGCTCAGCTAGCACAGGTATCGCACACATACTACATCAGAGATTCTTCCCTCGCAGGGGCCTTGTGAATCTCTCAGGGACACTTGTAACAAATACTGATTCCTCCATTGATACCAGTGTGCACATAGCCCAGAAGCACTGCACATTATTGTTTGGTTGGGAGTGCCTGACACACTATTTCTATGTTTTTTGTGTTTTTTTTGGAGAGAGAGTCTCACTTGCCTTGAACTCACTGTGCAGCCCAGGGTGGCCTCAGACTCATGGCAATCCTCCTGCCTCAGCTGCTGGGGTGCTGGGAGACAGACTATTTATAATGACTTAAAGTCTGTGAAGATTAATTGTGCAGGGAGAGTGGTCAGTGGTATCACTCCTAGGGTGGAAGATGTGACAGGGAAGGGCACAAGGCTGTAGGAGGACAGCTTAGTGCTGAACAAGAGGAGGAATTTCCTGTAGACAAATGCTGTGTAATTCTGAGCTGAGTCGCTCCAGGAAGTCACAGAGTACTTAATGGTCTTCTCAAACCACGAGAGCCCTAATTTATGATCCCTAGGGGACAGCACATGTGGCGTCGACACTCATTCTTGGTTCATTTGAGATGACTTTCTTAGTGACCTGGCTGTCTCTTATGTAAGGACTAAAAACAGCAGAGGTTGATTTTGGTCTCCAGAGCTCTGTGGGTAGGGAGCTGTGTTTCAGTCCCTAGGAAGTTAAAGACTCCTTGCACCAGGATGTCTTTTTCCATTATTCCTTCTTGAACCCTTGCTTTCTGTGGCTTTAGAGCAGTTCTGCAGTCCTGAGTGGGGGAAGTGGAGGCCCTACTCTTGCACCCCAGAAACATTCTTAACTCAGAGAGCTTTCCTCTGTCCAGGTACGGAGGACTTCCACTGCTCCCTGCATACCTGTGATACGCTGGACTCAAGGATCCAACCCTTAAGGGTCCTACCATTTGACCCCTTCTCTAGAATTTCTTTCTTTTTTAAAAAAATATATATATTTATTGGTACATGTTAGGTATAAAATATATTTACATTTATCATTGGGTGTTTGTACCAGAACATGATGCATCTTAGTTTTTATTTTTTCTCCCATTACCTGTGCACCTTTCACCCACTCCACCCTTCCCTATTTACACAGAGTTTGATTCCTTTTTTTTCTCATAATTTTTTCTTTCCCTTCTTCCCTTTCCCCTTTCCCTTCCACCATCCCCAAACCCTTGGACCTTTTCTTATTTCAAATTATCAATTATTCATTTTAATCATTTTCATCCTTATTTACACTTTCAATTTCTCACACTAGAGAAACTATTCGGTATTTACACGTGTGTCCTATTTATTTCCCTTAAGAGTATGGCCTCAATATGCATCCATTTAGCTATAAATGTCTCTAGTTTCTCATTCTTTATGGCTGAGTAGTACTCCATTTTATAAAAAAACCACATCTTCTTTATCCAGTTTTCAGTCGATGGGCACTTGGGCTGTCTCCAAGCTTTAGCTATTACAAACTGTGCTGCTATAAACATAGGTGCACATATACCGTTGTGGTATGATTCTTTTAATTCTTTGGGGAAGATTCCCAGTAGGGGAATAGCTGGGTCAAATGGGACCTGTAGTCCTAGTTCTTTGAGGTATCTCCATACTGATTTCCACAGTGGTTGCACCAGTCTACATTCCCACCAACAATGGAGAAGGGTTCCTTTCTCTCCACACCCCCGCCAGCATTTGTTATTGGTTGATTTCTTGATAGCAGCCATTCTTTGTGGGATGAGGTGGAATCTCAGAGTTGTTTTCATCTGCATCTCTCAAATGACCAGTGACGTTGAACATTTTTTCATATATTTATTTGCTGTTTTTACTTCTTTGTCTGAGAATAGAATTTTTTAAAGTACATTCTTAAAATTTTCATGCTGCAGAGTGTGATGGAGCACACTCTTGATCCTAACACTCAGGAGTCTGAGGCAGGAGGATAGTAGTGGGTTCAAGGCCAGCATGGACCACATAGTGATTTCAAGACCAACTAGACATACAACTAGGCCTCAAAAAGAAAAACAATTTTTTTTTTTTTCTGGAGCTCTTGCAACTAAGCAACACAGATTTATGAAATGCCTACTCCCTGTAAGAGGCACAACTGTGGGATAGATGCACAGGGAAGTTAAAGAAGCACCCCTCCCTCTGTGTGGTTTCAGTTCACTTGGAAAGATAAGACTCGTCTCTGTTTGTGTTTGAACATGAAACCAGACAAGACAGTCAGTAGCAGCAGCACTGGAAGGTTGCACAAAGCATGGGTGGGAAGGAAGGCTGGACCTGGCTCTTGAAGGGCTATGAGGCACTTGACCAGGCATTCTAAACTGTGTAAAGCAGTTGATTACATTTGGGAGGTTAAAAATGACAGGCCAGGGGGCTGGGGATTTAGCTCAGTGGTGCTGCCACCTGCCTTGCAAGGGCAAGGTCTGGAGTTCAGTTCCCAGCACCCCCCCCACCCCACCCCCGCAAAAAAAGAGGACAGGCCAGGGCCTAGTCCACTATGTGCAGGTTGGGCCTGGGATGTATCCAATCCAGTCTTCCCCAGGTGATTCGGGTGTGCAGCCATGCTGGAGGCCTGTGAAATGTCGTCCTAATATGGACTAACAATTTCCTTTTCTCATTACCACAACCAAAATAAGGACGGGAGAGAAAGTGAACAAGGTGTCAATTCCAGAGTTCCTGCTTCTACTTTGCGGGACAGGGGAACACTCCTAGTAAACTGAGGAGTGATTTCTCCTCTTGATTGAGCACCTAGTATTTGTTTAGCAGAAGTTTTGTGCCTATAATCTCTAGTTTTTACAACAGAACTGTGAGCTAGATTATTTATACATGGATAGTCCTTGACTTTCCATGTTTTTTAATGATATTTTTTGCTTTACAAATACCCCTTCAGTACAAACCATACTTTGAATTTAGACTTTTGATCTTTCCTTGGGCCACTGATACTTTCTTGTGATGCTAGGCAGGGACAGCCAACCACTGCATAACTCAGCTGTGCAGTTATGAGTAACTGATGCTACTGTACAGTGAACTCTGTTGCTAAGCTATGATATTTGCTAAGTTAGATATATTAAGTACATTTTCAATTTACACTATTTTCAATTTATGCTGGGTTTTCTTCATCATAAGGTGAGGAGAATCTGTATTTTAAAATTGAGGATCTTGGGTCCTGTACATTTCAGTAGCTTACTCAAAGTCCACCTGCCTTTAAGTGGCATATCTTGGGATGGAATCTAGGTATTTGGGATACAGAAACATTTTTTTTGCCCATGATATTTCATCATTTCTCATGGTCTCCCTGTAGGAATTACCTAAGCATGCATTGGGAAGGTGAAGAGTCAGAACTATTTAGGGGCAGGTGAAGGGACTGTGAGTGGATTTCTCCAAGCAGCCAGGCACACTCATGACATGGAGCTCCTAACATAGATGTGGAGAAGTTGTGCACAGAGGGGAGAGTGCAAGAGTTTTGAGGTGACACCCCATGGGGATTAGTCCTGGCTAAACTCTAAAGTACATGTTGGAAATCCACTAATACATACCTTGAAAGACTGTTAGGATTAAGTGAAATGACCAGTAAACCAGAGGAGCTGTAATTATTTTCTTTGACCTTACACCCTGCCTCGCTATACACATTGAAGCTTTTTTGCTACTGATCCAAGCATCTGTCCTTTCATTTCCTTTCCCAGGCCTCTTTTTATGTAGAATTGGGGCCACAGCATACACTTTTCTTGATATGTCCAATTCAAAATACACATTTTTCTCTTAATTTTCAACTTAGCTCCTGTGTTCCAAAGCCTTCAACCAGTCACTAGTACATACCAAAATGAGTCTAGCCTTTTTCAGCAGCAATCAAAACCTTGGAGGATGATCCAACCCTATACTCTCTCTACTCTTTCATTGTTTGCCTCTGACACCGCATTACGATCCTCAGATTCTCTGTTTGCTGGTTTTATTATGAAGAGGTCCCATGCACACTCTTTCTTGGGTTTGCAATGCTTTCAAAACCTCATTTTTTAAACAAGAAGATAAACACTGCATGTTCTCACTTATATGTAGAAGCTAAAGAATTGATCTCATGGAAGTAGAGAGTAGAATAGTGATTTTCAGAGTCTGAAAAAGGTGGAGGGGAGGGAGGGAGGGAGAGAGGATGGTTGACACATATAGAAATGCAGTTGGATGGGGGAATAACTTCTATGTTCTGTAGCACAATAGGGTCCAATGTGCCCTACATATGGTTGACAACAATTAATTGTATATTTCAAAATAATGGAGAGGATTTTGAATGATAAATGTTTGAGGTGATGGATATACTCATTACCCTGATCTGATCTTACACATTGTACACAGGTATTGAAATAACACACTGAGCCCCAATAAATATGTATAATTATATGTCAATTAAAAATAACATGTGTATATATGTAAATTATAACCAAAAAAAGTTCATCTTTCACAATCCTGTCTATCCTTCCTACCTCAGAGCCCCCAAAGCATTTCATTGCTAACTTTTTCATGAGGTTCCATTCTGTCTGATAGTTCCTTCTATAAACTTGATTCAGAAGAGGACACCCGCTTGAAGTCAGGACTCTGCTGCTTTCATTTCTCTATCCCCCAATAGGGATTTGAGAATATTTGTTAAGACAAAATGACTCTTTCTTTGCTTTCTAGGCTAACAAGAAAAATCCCTGGAGCTCTTGTAATAAGACTTTGATTGGAAGGTGTAAACTGTGGATGGTCATCGGCTCCATTTTCCTAGGTTTCATTATAGTAGTCATCATAGGCTTATGTCTCACTGGAGGTAAGAGGATTTCCACTAAGTTGACACATTTTAAAAACTTGTTTAATGCTTGTGACTTTCATTGAAATGGAAAAACCTACTCATTGCTATTTCACTATTTACAATATAAATTATGTGACCAATTTTTGATCCCAAACGGTCCTTTTTTATCTTGGAATGGTGGAACTGTTAAGACCATATGCTGACTGAGCAGTGAAGGAGACTTTTTATTCTTGGCCAAGAATAGGAGAATCAGTAGGTAGATTCCCCAAATCAACTTTTCTCCTGCTGGGGGTCTGGGAGATATAAGGTAAAAGAAATGGACAGTGAAGGATAGGCTAATAAAGATGAGGAAGAGTCATGTCTTTTCTGGGAGTGAGCAGAGATTTTCTGGGAATTCAGGTACCACCTCTTTTCACTTTTATGGTTCTTTCCCATTATTGTCCTGGCAGTTGTCAACTATCATGGCACTGGGGGGGTCCATTAGAGTGCCAATTAAATTATAATGAAGCTAGAGGTTGTCTGGCATCACTCACTCTGGCAGCTGTCTTAGATCCAGCCACTTTTGATTAGCTCTCCTGAAGAAGTACTCGTGGCCTTTGAAGACATCCTGCTCTCGAAGATAAATAAAATTAAGGTGAGATCGAAATTAACTAGGTCACCTGGGCAGTATAAGATTAGGGTGAGATAATAGAAAACTGGTTGGAATATGTTGTGTGGATAAGTTTTTTTTGTTGTTTTATATATATATATTTTTTTAATATAAATTCTAGAAGTGTGGAGATCAGTGTTTTATTTTAAATTCTACTCATTGGATCTTGAAAAGATTTCTTAAATTGTTAACAGAAATAAGCACTAATCTATATTTTATTACATCTTAGGTCATGCTCATTTGAAGTTTTTTTCTCTTTATAATTTGTTCAATAAAAGTAATTATCAAGTTTATCTGGTATATTTAACACACAATGATAAAATAATGGGTAATATATTTGAGTTTTACAAATCTTTATAGATCCATGTCTCTACAAGCTATCATTATTTAAACTTATTTTAGAAAGTTTTATTATAGTTTGTTGCATATGTGTATAAAACAAAAATGTACATTTGCTAATGATCTACTTTATGTTATCTCCTTTTGTTATTTGAATTTAAAATGATACATGTTAAGTTATCCATAAAATGGATTCATATTGTTAATATTGTTATATATTCTTTTAGTCTTCCATTTTTCACTTTTTTTTTTTTTGGTACTGGGGATCGAACTTGGGTCCTTGCGCTTGCAAGGCAGGCGGAGAAACCACTGAGCTAAATCCCCAGCCCTCTTACTTTCATTTTTAAAATAATTTGAGATTGGGTTTTTAATAGTCTGTGGCTTACCTTAAAGATTTTAATATTACATTGAGATCATTTTGCCAAGTCATTAAAAATTCTTTGTAAACATAATTTTTAAAGACTATATTTCTTAATTGTTCCACACTATTTTTAAGCCCTTTTAGGTTATCAATTTTATATGATTAAAAAAAATTTTATGATATATACAAATAGTGTGCACCTGTGCACAATTATTTCTATCTCAAATAGCAAAGAAGAAAATTGTTTCTCTTTGCATGTGGGGGTGCTGGTAGAGAAGGGCTTAACTGGGATTTCTAAGGGTGATCTGGCCTCCACAAGGATTGGGATTAAGCCAGTCATATAATGGGGAGTTCCCGTCTTGGCAGAGAGAGTTCTTAGGAATTTTCCTCGGGAAAATATATTTGCCAGGGAAACCTCCTGTTTTCCCTCTCCAAACCCCTTAATTTCCTGTCTCAAGGTTTTGCATTTTCTGAAAGAACAGGACACCTTTGATGACATCAGCCAAACTCTGTACCATGAGTCTCTAGGCAGACACTATGTCTACTTGGTTACTTGGGATTTTGTTTTTGTGGGATATATGATTCTTTGAGGCCATAGGGTGATTTTAAGTAAGAAACTGCACTCTCTATTATGCTGAGGATGGTAGTTTTGGATGATCATCGATACTTCCTATTCATATCAACTCCTACATATGGGTATTGGTGCAAAATTCCCAAAAGGTGACCAATTTATCTATCTGGTAGTATCTGGAGCTTATCACCAGACAGATCTAGGTGGCTGAATATTCAGGATTCTAAAGTACAAGGCCTAAGAATTATCTTCCCTTCTCATATGGTCATCTGACCTCAATTTACAAAGAGTAATCTGCAGAGATAGGTTTTCCATTTCCTTTAGTAGTTTTTCTGGAGACATGAAAGATTGTATTCAGGGAAGAATTTTTTTTAACATTTATAGGGCAAACTTTATTTTTAATTTGATTGTAAATTTGTGTTTTAACATATACTACTGATGTAAGAGAGACTATGATATTTTTTAAAATTGAGGAAATACTTTTATCTTACTTGGCATCTCAGCCTTTAGGTGTTTTGGCCTGTAGAGAGAGTTAAGATAGAATAAAAACCTAGTATCTACACAAAAGGCTTCAAATTTAAAACAATATGTGTTTTCTTACCTATAAAACCAAAATATGTTATTAATATTTTGTTATATTTTCTTCTAGTCTTTCTCTTATTTGGCATTTTGAAGTAATTGAGATCAGGGTCTTTTTACTCTTCTAGCCTATTTTTAGAATTTTAAGTTATATAGAGATGATTTTGCCAAATCTCTAAAAATTCAGGGAAGATTTTTTGTGATGGGGAGTAATATACAGTAATAGGTAAAAGAGTGTGGGACAAGGGTCACCTCTCTCATAGTCCCACCCTTAGCCAGAGCTGCTCTGTAGCCAATTTCTGAGATGACCATCTTCCAATAATAGTCAACTACACTGCCTAATTGCCAAAGACATTGATATGAATCAGCTATTTGTACAACTCCCATGTACTGTGTAGAAAATGCTTTTGTCTGGGAAAAGGGCAGTGTTGGCAGAGTCAAGGGCTGTACTTAGAGTTGACTGGATCCTTTGGGAGACCAGGTTTCTCAAAAACTGCATTTGCTACTCAGCTTCTGTTTTCCCTGCTCCAATCCCCTCAATCTAGTGTCTCAAGGCTCTGTAGTTCCTAGACTGAATTTGGAGGCAGAGATAGTAATAATTATGTCATTGGATTGGATACAGATCAGGACAGTAAATGTATTCCAGAATGGAAAGGGTAGCTAGTAGGGGAAGACAGTAGGGTACCCAGGGCAGAGTGCCCAGTGGTATATTGTTACCGACATTATTAAGATTTTGGAGCTTTAAGATTTGTGGTGATCTTTAAAGTAGGCCAACTTGTAGTTGGTATTAATGTTGTTGCTAATTTCTACAGACTGTGCATCTCTTATTTCCTACAACTGGGATGACCTTGCCCACATCTCTGCCCTGGTTGTGCATTGAAGTGATGGCAGATTCAGGGTCATGACTTTGCTTCAGTCATTGAGTGTGGGGAAAAAAGGTCAGTAATCCAGACCCATAGATGACACTGGCTTTTGTTTAAATGGCCAATTTTCTGGGGAAAGCCCAGGTAATTCTGTTGAGACTGTAGGTCTTTTTTTGTCCCAGCTTTATAATAAAAGGGGTGCTAATGGAATCTGCCCTGTCTGAGGAATTATAAATTCTTTGGTACGAAGGATAATGAAAAAAAGAAGAAGAAAAGGCTTCTATCACTTAAAGTCAAAGTGTCCTCAAAGGTTTTCCTTTTATCACTAATTCACTTCAGTAAGGAAGGGATATACCTTACTCATAAAAGTCTTTGACAAATAGGTTAGTTCTTAAAAATATGATGTAAAGTCACAATACTCTGAGACCCTCATGTGATATTCCCCAGCATTTCAGATGCCTGTCTGACTCAGTTTCTTAATTTATGGGCTCTTCAGTGAGAAGGAATGCTGTGGCACCAAGGAGTAAGCAAGGACTTTGTAAGTGGAAAAGTGTTGGCCAACAGTGTTTTCAAGGCAATACTCCCTGGGGTAAAGTGACTCATGGGGAAATCCTAGGCAGATAGCATTAGCAAGCTGTAAACTCCCCAGGTCCTTCAGAGCAGGAAAATAATAGTAATTCTGTAGACCCACTATCTTGAAATTTCTTCACATTTTCATCTTTCCTTCAAACCTCACATATTCCCCCCTCACCACAACTGAATTCCTTGCCCTTTATCTCCATACCCTCTAGCCTAAAAGATTCACTATCACTGCTCTAGGTTCTTCAGATATTTCCTCCTCTCTCTAAGGTTTCTCAGGGTCTACTTAACTCTTCAAATATGTTAGCAGCAACTCCCCTTCAAAACAGTCTTCCATAAGATTCTTAATGTCATTTAGATATTTTTCCTTGCCTTTCACTGGGAAAGTTCTAGAAAGAGAAGTCTGCATTTGGATCATGCCTTTTTCTTACTTCTAAACCTCTTGGGTCCATTGGCTCTAAATTTTTTTTCTGTTTTTTGATACTGGGGATCTAACTTGGGACCTTGTGCTTGCGAGGCAGGCAGTGGAACCACTGAGCTAAATCCCCAGCCATTGGCTCCAAATTATTCTTTGAAGGGTTGCTAGCAATTGTTTAATCATGAAATCCAACTTTTCTCCCATCTTCTAGTCTGCTTTCAGTTGCGTTGTACTCTTCTGAGTCTATAGAACTCCTGGACTTTAAGTTGGTTTCGCATTTTTGTTTTTGATCTCATTGTGGGTCCATGAGGCTTGTTTTCAACTCTCTTACTCTTCACATTTTTCATTCCTTCTCTTGGGAAGCTCATTCACTTCTAGGGCAGCAGCTAGGAGGAAACTCTTGGATATACACCGTGTGATAAAAAATATAGTGAATGTTTAAATTTAAAAATTTATTATAGTAAATGACATATCGCCATTGATCCCCTTCAAAATAATCCCCCTCTTGTGCCACTTTCTAAAGTTGTTCTGGAAGTTCTTTTTCACAAGTGTCTTTAGTTACACTGTCATGGCTGCCTTAATGTTCTAAATCAGTTCAAAACACTTATTTTTCATGTTTACTTTGTCTTTGGGAAAGAGCCAGAAGTTACACTGTGCCAGATCCAGTAAATAAAGTGGATGAGGACAAACCATAATGTTTTCTTGAGCCAGCCTTTTGATTGGATGGCACTTGGCAGCAGCATTCACAGTATTTTTTATCACACCTCATGAAGACACTCACAAACTTCCAGAACTACAGTACTTCAGAAAGTGGCAAGAGCAATGGGATAAGTGTATTCAAAGTGAGAGGGATTAATGACAGTATGCCTTTTATTGTCATAACTTTTCAAAATGAAACCATCACTGAATATTTTGATTATACTTCATATATATACAACATTTTCTTGACTTTTACAGATACTCTTTGCCAGAGATCTCTATGTAGAAATAACCATCATATCCCAATCATTACCCATGTGAAATTACTATTTGTTTGTGTCCAGTCTGTTGGACTGCTATTGATATTTCTGTTGTGGAAATAGCTTCAGAGATTTAAGTGACTTGCTCAAGGCCACATGATGAATAAATAATAGGGCTAGGGTTCAAACTAAGTCTGCCTACCTATAAAGCCAGCTGGGATTTAGTATCCTGGCCTCCCTCCTTGCCTTCCTTCCATGCCAGCCTCTACTTCCTTCCTGGGCAACTTCTAGCACCTTCCATTACCTGACAACATCTGGCATTTAAAGCCTTCCTCTAGAGCTTCATGTCTTATATTCCATCTGAAGAGCTCTTCTCACATTCCTACCGCAAACTATATATGACTCTGTGATTTTTAAAACTCATTATCTCTTCATGGAAAGTACTGGCCAGGTTAAGTCTCACTGACATAAAACTCTCCTGACTGTAAGTTTGTTGTTGTTATTTTTGTTTTGGCAAACAAAACTACTTAGCCAGCTCTTGATGCAGATTTGTTATTTAGAGGGTACAAGTTAAGTACTGTATATGTCATTACAGGTATAATTTGAGATCCCTTTTTGAATGTGGCTTCTAAGAGCCCTTGAGTTAAGCAAGTATTAGACTCCCTAATACAACCTCTAGTATCTCCTATTCCTTTTTGAGGCATGAATATTGACTGTAAAAATCTGTGTGGTGGATATAGAGCTCAAAGATGACCATTACAGTGTTATTTATAGTACTCAAAAGCGGAAAATACTAAATGTCACTTTAAGAAAATGGGTGATCCTATTATGAATATTATAAAGCCATTAAAAATAACTTTTGCAAGGGATTTCATATAAATGGGGAATGACTTTAGTTAGATACATTAACATCAAAAGAATCAAAACAAGCAACAATAGCAAAAGTGACAAGAAGCAGGATATAAATTACCTATTTATTAATATCTCAGATATACAATATAAAATATGGGAGGAAACATAATATAAAATATCCAGAGAAAAACTTTTTGATTAAAGGATTATTAGGAGTTTTTTTTTTTTTTTTTTTTTGCTTTCTTACAGTTTTCTCTACTTTGTGAGTTTTTTGCTGTGATGGCCTCTTATCATCAAAGTAATGCAATAACTTACAACAAATAAGAACACAGGGATAATTCTCTATGTTTGGGATTCACAGAAGTCAATCTGGGGTTCAGCAGTTGTTACAAAGGTTCAATATATAATTTAGCTGATGACTGTAATTTATTATAAAAAAGGTACATCAAAGAATTTATTGTAGCAAAATCCAGAGGAAACCTTTAAAGAGTCCTCTTTCCCGGTATAGCTGCACAAGAGGTGCTTAATTCCTGCAGCAGTGAGCAAGAGGTGCTTAATTCCTGCAGCAGTGAGTGTGAGAACATGCATGAGTATCATTAGACACTGCATGCCTACTGTTTTCACTGGGGGGTGGTCACACACAGTGTGCCTAGCATGGACCAAAATTTGAGACTCCCACAAAGGAAGGGGCCATTAACCATATTGTGGATAGAAAATATTGAGGTACAGTGACCTACTCTTATAAGGACATAATAGAACCTTCTCCAAACTTGGCCTCTTATGCCAGCCAGGGGGCTAAGCTTGAGCAACTTTTAAAGCTAGCAGTGTCAGGCCTGCTATGTTAACTCTTTTCTGCATATACTTTGCCCTAATGCCTCACATTTCCAAATTTTGTTAGGTAATAAGTACCAGAATTCTTTTTTTTTTTTTTTTTTAGACTTGCTCTTCCATCAAAAACACTCAATTTATTCCACAGTGGCCTTTCAAAGTCCAGGAAGGGAAGCTGATTTTGTTATGCACAAGATTTAAGGGGATCCTGTCTGTGCATTTGTTTTTTTTTAATTTATATATTAATTGGTACATTTTAGGTATACAGTACATTTACATTTATCATTGGATGTTTGTACCTGTACATGATGTATCTTAGTTCTTATTTTTTTCCCCATTACCTGTGCGCCCTTCACCCGCTCCACCCTTCCCTATTTACATAGACTTTATTTCCATTTTTTTTTCTTTCTCATAATTTTTCCTTTCCTTTCTTCCCTTTCCCGTTCCTGTCCTGCTACCCCTCCACCTTTGGACCTTTTCCTATTTCAAATTATCAATTATTCATTTTAATCATTTTAATCCTTATTTACACTTTCAGTTTCTCACACTAGAGATACTATTTGGGATTTACACCTGTGTGTCCTGTTTATTTCACTTAAGAGTATGGCCTCAATCCTCCCACCCACACCTTTCTCACGGCCAGAGAGGTGGCCCCTGAGCAGGACCAGACTGAGGCTGGCGTGGAGCCTGGGGAGCATAATGAGTGCCACACTGCCAGCTTCTGGCTCCTGGCTTTGTTTTCTTTCAGCTCTAACTGCTTAAAAATCAATTAGCCAGCAGTCTCTAGAACACAAGAAACACAGAGCTCACTGTCTCAGGAAGGTAATTCCTGCCAGCCCTAGGGTTTGCAGTGCAGTTTGGCTTCCCTTTTGCAAACAGAGTGAGTCAACATTTCTCTGCTGGGGACCAGCTAGGGCAGTGACTTCATGCCCATCTGCTGGCTCCTGGGGAGATGTCAAGACATGGGTTCCTATGCTTATTTTCTATTTTCATCTCTGTTCTGGTTGATGGTACCGCTTCCTCATCATGGTCTTTGATAGTGCAGGACAGGAAAGTGATTGGATGAAGTTGCTCATGCTGCTCCCCTACTGCCTCCTATGGTCTCCCAGCACCTGCGCCGACACCTGTGCACATAGCTAAGGTGCAGGTTCAGTTTAACATGGGTGTTCTTGTTCTTTCCACTCCTTTCCTCCCACTCTTCCTCCAGCCTGTATGCAGGGGCATCTGAGACCCCTTTGGGCATCTGAACAAAGCTTTTATCATAATGGAGGCAAGCTCCCGTCTTTTACTCTGTTTTACCAAGCAGAAAAGCTTGTACTTTTCTTTCTTTCTTTCTTTTTTTTTTTTTACTATGTCCAGGCTTTATCCTTCATGAGTGCTCATGGTTATATTGGTTATGTTTAAGTATAGCAGGCAATAGAATAGACAAGTTTATTTTACACACATGTTTACTTTTTATTTTCACTTCCCCACACTTTATAGTAATGTACATTGATGAAGATGAAAATGAAATAATTGAATTATCATCAAACAAAACGTTCTTCATCATGCTAAGGATTCCAGAGGAGTGTATTACTGAAGAGGAATTGCCTCACCTGCTCACTAAAAGGGTAATTATGATTTACACATTGTTTATTGGGCTTTTCTTCTTTTTATCTTGATTACTGGATTTTAGCCTGAGACTATGAGTTTGAGTTCTATCAGAACAATTGGCACAGAGCTTTATAATCCGTAGCTTTAATTTTTTTGTCTAGATTTTAGCAGAATGATGCTTATAAATGTATTTTCTGTAGTGAAAGGCCAGAGGGAAGAGCTCTGACCTGCAGCTTTGTGTACCCTGGAACACAGTGTCTCATTCTCTCACACTGCTGGTGTATTTGATCCAATCTATGGTATTCATTGAGGATATATGACGTGCTAGACAACATGCTTCAGTGGGCTCACAACTCAAGTAGAGGTAGCAATTAAATGGTTATAAAACAATGCAGTATATCTATTATTGAGATACACAAAGTGTGTTTATAGCCACAAAGGAGGGCCATCTGAACTGCCTGAGGTGGGATGGAGGCAGGCAGAGCCTGTTGGAGGATGGGATATTCAGGATGAGTTTTGAAATATAAGGTAAGAATGTTTTGCGTAAAAGGGTATGGGACATTCGGGGCTCTGCCAAGTAGCGTAGTATGCCTGAGCTCACTCTCAGGGTGAAGTTGAAGAGAAAGGTAGGCAAAGGTGATGAAAGTTCTCCCATTCTTTGGAAAGGCACTGAAAGATTTTAATCAACAGACAACATGGTCAGAATTTATTTTAATTTTTTTGTGTGATAGCATAGAAAAATGCAAGGAAGAGAGCAGTTAGAAGGTGTTCTAGCAGTCTAGCTGAGAAATGAGGGAGGCTGACTTAGGGCAGTGTCAGGGGAAATACATTCAGTGATGTTTAACAGGTGTCCTCACTCAGCAGGACCAAATGACTGGTTGGAAGGTAGTGAGGCAGAGTGTGACTCAGCTCTGGCTGGGAGGTTGGGTAGATGGGGTGGAACTGCATGAGCCTCTTGTGCAAAATGAGGGCTCTTCAGCTAGAATGTGAGGACTGTGGGCCAATCTTGGCTTGTCAAAGACAGTCTGGTTGAAAGCCAGATCCAGAAGACCTTATAAAAAGCTTAATAGGGCTTATTTTCAATTATACCATCACAAAAGACTTCATTCTATAAAATAGAGTAAGTGTTCTAAGGAGCAGAGGAAGTCAGTTTTACAGATAGGAAAGAGTGAAGAAAGTAGAAATGAAAGCTAAAAGTGGCATAGTCACTTCAAAGTTACTCTCTTGTAAGGTGAGGACAGAGAAACAGAACAATCGAAAAATAACTGATTGGTTTATGTATTATTTCAGGCTATCTTTTTTTTGTAGTAAAGATTAAGATGGAGGGAACTTCATTATCATGCCAATTGAAACTGGCCTATTTGGGGAAATTTGACTGTCATATGACCTTGATTTCTCATGAGGTCAGATGAATAGCATAATTTGGTGATGTGGAATTTAAACTTGAATGACTCCATCTTGACATTTAGCTTGGTCCTTGCAGTAACTTAGCAAGAAACAGTGGTTTCCTGTAATTTTTATTTAATACTTTTTTTCTTTTGATTATGCTTCTAGGCGGCAGCCTGACCAAAACTTAGGACATTAGCATTATGCTCAGCATCATTTTGGACTCCTGTTGTTAAGATATCATTCGTTAATTATGACAGCCTCATGAACACACATTTCTTTGAGTTTTTGTTGTTCCAGCCAAAGAAGAACCATTTGATGTTCAAATGATGGAGTTACACAAACATATAAAACTTTTGAGAGGGTAGAATGTACCAGAAAGATTGCTGTTATGACTATTGGTAGGGTAATGCCTAGCATTTCAGTTATCTTCCTTAGCCAAGGTTCCCATAAATCAAACCAACTAAAATCAAGTGGATCAAAGGATGAGATGGACAAGGAGTCTATCCCTCTTACTTAAGTGTCTACAATACCCAGTTAGTTATCTATGTGCAGAAAAAGTACCAGCAACTGCCCAGATTCCTCTTTGTTTAGTTAGTAGTAGTAGCTCTATCATCTAGCATAACAGCACAGGGTTAAATTAAAGCAAAGGGCTAACTCTATAAGAGAGACCACTAGGACAATTTGAACAAACTGTTTCATTAGAGATGTTGCTAAAGTTATTTTCTGCGTGCACTAAGAGATCACTTAGGGCCTGTAAAGATTTGGGTTTGACAGGACAGCTCCAACACTGTCAAATTACCCCAGAAGCTATGATTGTGGAGTTCTAAACACAGAATTATCCAGCACAATTAAAGAGACAGAATAAACAAGGAAAAATTAAGACAAATAAAAATCTTATTATGATAGAGAGATAATCATGATTGTTCCAATTACAGTCTTAGGAGCAACTATGATTGCCCTGATGATAGTCTTGGATAAAGCTGCCTACACCATGAAGTTAACTTCTCTTCCTTGTTTATGGTCTGAATGTCTCTGGTTGTGACATTAGGTGTTTTGGTGAACTCTCTGTGGCTGTGTTAATCATCTTTGTTTTACTGTAGCTGCATAGCTGAGACAATAACCTTACAAGGAGGGGAAAGGTTTGTTTTGACTCATGGTTTCAAGGGTTTAGATCCATGGTCACTTGATGTGATCCATTGCCTTTGAGCCTGAGGTGACATAGTATACCTGACAGGGAGTGTTTTGCAGAGAAAGGTGCTCACCTCATGGCAGCCAGGAAGCAAAAGAAAGAAAAGAAGGAGCTGTGGTTCCAATGTCCCCTTCAAGTACACATCCCAGTGACCTAACTTCTTTCCACTAGGTCCTGCTTCCTAAAGGTTCCACACCTCCCAGTAGTGCCATAGTAGTGCCATTAGCCTTTTAGCTAATGGACCTTTGGGAGACACTTAACCAAACATAGTATCTGTCTTCATTTCCGAAATTGGACCACATTTCATTTCATGAAGTAGAGTAACTGTCCATTGGAGATTTTTTGTGTTAAGAAAATCTAAGCAAGACCTGACTGTTTTTCTGCCATTGTGTGATCTAATGCCATGAATCGTCTTTCTGGCTTTCATTTGATTCCTACAAAACCTTCTGAAGGCAGTGACACCATCTATTTAGTATCAGATCATCTGTGTGAGATGTGACAGCTCTTTTTATCACAGGAGTTTGGGTCCTGTGATGATTACTCCAGCTTTTCCTTCTTATTCTTTTCTTTGTGAATATTGTATCTGCAGTTCCTCTTCCTCCTTTCTTTCCACCTACTTCCCAGACCAAGACTGCTGGGTGAATCGTTTCTTGCTACGTTCCTCTTGCTTGCTTTTTAAATTGAGGGTTTGCATTTGCTGAGCAAAAATGAAATTAGTAAGCATGTGCATTTGTTTAGATATGTATCTGTTGACAGAGACAGATGTGAGCGAAGTCTGCAGGTGTTTTTAGCTATCACTGTGCCAGCTCCTCACTGGGCCATGCTTCAGAGTCATCATCTGGGTTCTAACTGTGATGCTGAAAAGTGGTTACATTGGTGACTTTGAAATCATTGGTGAACACAGAGCAGGGAAAATTGTGAGCCACACAGGGGTGTTGAACAAGTATGAAGCAGTCCACTCCAGCTTTGATGTGCAGCTCAAAGACCTCAAAATATGGTGGAACTACTTGCTCCTATCCTGTCAGTTTGATTTCATTATACTGACAACCTCAGCTGGCATGGATCACAAAGAAGCTAGATGAAAACACATATCAGGAAACTAATCCTGGGATAACTTTTCTAAAAATATAAAATATTACATAAAATATAATGCCTCAGTGGAAAAAAATATAATGCAATCGTGTTCAACCACATGTTCTGGGTTACTATGAAGTTAGGATGTATATCTCTGGTACAGGATGGAAAGATTAATCAGAGCCTGATGAAAGATTCTATAACATAATATCAGTAGTTCATATCCAAAATTTACAACTAACCTCTTTAGAGAGATAAGAAACAGGCAGGAAAAGTAATAGACAATTCCAAGGTGAGAAATCTCAAAGAATTAAATACATGTAAAGCAGCTGATTGGGGTTGCACATGCCTGTAATCCTAGCATTCAGGAGGCTGAGGGAAGAGAATCACTATGAGTTTGAGGCCAGCCTGGGGTATGAAGTGAGTTCAAGGCCAGCCTGAACTATTTAGGGAGACCCTGTCTCAACAAACAAACAATGAAAATAGTGAATACATTTGTCTTTATTTAAAAATAAATGAAATACATGGAAGGAGGCTCAAACTTACTAGTAAGCAAGGCAGTACAAACAATATGAAATACAGTTTTACATGCTTCATATTGATAAAAGTTTGAAAGTCTTGTAAGAATGTGAGAAATGGAACATTATTAGGAGGAAAGTAAAATGGAGAACAATTTTGCAAGATTTAGTTGAGATGAAGATTACCTGCTTTCAGACTCAGCAAATCCATTTCTTGGCATATTCCCAGAGAAAATCTTCTGAGGACAAGATGCCTAGATCCTTAAAGATGATTGCTTCAACCTCATTTGTATTAGGGAAAATTAGAAGTGATGTGTGTGGCCATCAGCAGGGAGGAACTGAGCTGGTGGAATCATGTACTGGAAATTTATGAAGGAGCTAGACCAAATAAACTCCACAGAGATGTACCCTACATGTAAATCTTAAATATAATTTTGATTAAAATAGTAAGTCTTAGAGGATTATGTAGCATATGACACCTTAATTTGAATAAAAACACCAATTAAATAGCATATTGTGATGATTAGATATAGAAATAGTAATTTACAGACATGTGCAAAGAAAGGATGCCAGCATCAGGAAGATGATTCATATTAGGAGAAGAAGGAAAAATTAAATAAGGTGTAGAAGTCACTTTGGCTTTATTTTGCTTCTTTCTTTTCCTTCTTTCATGGAACTGGGGGTTGAATCCAAGGCCTTGTGCATGCTAGGCAGGTGCTGGACCATTGAGCTACACCTCCAGCCCTTCTTTTGTTTCTTAAAGATCTGAGTTCAATAAAGATGTTCCCCACCTTCCCATAGTTCAACTTAATGATTTTCTGGCCTATAGTGGTATGAAAGCACACCCATAGAGCCTTTTTTTTTTTTTTTTAAATTTTAAGACAGGGCCTCGCAATGTAGTTCAGACTGGCCTTAAACTCTCTATGTGGTCCACCTAGGTTGGCCTTGAACTTGTGGCAATCTTTCTGCCTCAGCATCCTAAGTGCTGGGATTATAGGCATGCACCACCATGCCTGGCTTATGCAACCATTTTGTTTTTTGCTTTCAGTACAATATTCAATAAATTACGTGAAATATTCAGTACTATGTTGTAGTTGTATGTTGTAGACTAGCTTTGTGTTGAGATTATCTGCCCAACTGTAGGATAATGTAGATGTTCTGGGCACATTTAAGGTAGGTTAGACTAAGCTATGAAGTCTGGTAGGTTGGGTGTATTACATGCATTTCACCTTACAAAATTTTCAAGTTACAGTAGTTTCATTGGGATACACCAGATACACCACATTGTAAATTAAGGAGCATCTGTTTGGTAAAATATAGAGGCATGAAACTTTGGTGGTCAGAACACAGGGGTCATTTTTTAAAAAGATGGTGTGCAGTATTTCTTGCATAAAATAAAGCCTCCATATCTTTGCAACTTGTTACTTTGTTGCTTTGTCCAGGGCAGTGCTAGTGCTCTTAGTTTGTCTCAGCATGGGTGTTTCTCCTACAGTGACACTCTGGAGAGGGGAAGAAAGTGATGTACGTGATATACCTGGCACTGAATGGCCTGAGCTGATGGCCCCTGCCACCACTTTTACTCCTTTCCCTGGCCTGTGGGGCCTGTGTGGGCTCGAGTTGCTGATCACTGACTGCTGTCATTCCCAAGGCCACAGTGTGTCAGGGAAATTCACAAGAGAAGTGAGAATTCCCAGCTGAGTCACCTAGCCCTTATGAATGAGGTTCTTTTAACTTGAGGTTTGTTTTGATAGACGCACACCTTCCTATCTTAGTCCAGAGCTTCTAGAGAGACTAATTCCTGGCTAGAGTGGAAAGTCCTTTGTTTGGGGGTACTTTTGCTTTGTCAGGAGATATGTAAAGTGATCGTTAGTAACCTCTGTGTTTTTTCCTGTTTATTTAGCTCACAGGGGTGTACAGTACATCACCATCTCTGAGTCGATATTTCATGTCAGTTGAAATAGTGGACTTCAGGTAAGAGTATGGACCATTATGTTTTGGTCTCTTTCTCTGGAAAAAACATGTACCTACCCTGCCTGCCCCATTTACCATTTGCCCAGGACAACTCTCCTGAGCTTCAGAGTGGGAAGGAAACCAGTACTAGAACCACAAAGGCTGCGCTATGATGGTCTTTGGCTATAATTTAGCTTAACTCTCTTATTTTACAAATGAGTCTTCACAAACCATACATTTCCCAAACCATAATATTAATAGTCCAGGAGAAGAAGCATGTAAAGCCAGTGGTAATGCTGTGGGATAATGTCTTAGTATTTATCTTGTCATTAGCACACAATACCTGACACCCACAACTTAAAGGTTTATTTTGGCTCACAGTTTGTAGAGGTTTCTGTCTATGGTTGTTGGGCTCTAATCAGGAAGGTATGGTACAAGGCCCTGGGTGGAGGGTAGCTACTCAAAGCATGAAAGATAGGAAGTAGAGAGAACAAGGAAGGAGCTGGGGAGGGAGATAAACCATTCCATGAGACACCCACACTGACGCACTTTTTTCAGCCAGACCCTACCTCCTAACATCCAGCCAGTTAGCTATACCACCCCCTTAATCCAATCACTTCCCCCAAACCCTGCCTGTGATCATATGAAGCCTTCAGGGGACATCTAGATATAAATCATAACAGATCAAAATGGACCAGAAATCTAGACATAGTGTCAGGCTTGCTTTTTCCTCCTTTATAGGCCCTGTTATGGTTTAAGTCTCATGCGGTCATAGGTGGGGGTTTTTGGAGGTGGCTAGATTAGGGTGTGTGCTGCTAGGATTAAGGGTACATGATTACTAAAGTAGTCCACTGATTGGTCTAGCATAGTTCTGAGTGTGGACAATGGGAAAGCCCACCCTGGGTGTGGCTTGCACCACCCAAAAGGGGGTTAGTAACCTGGAAGAGATAAAAGGGAACGGCTTCTGTCCTGCTGCTTGGTACTGCTGCTGCTTCTGCTGCTGCTTCACTGCTTTACTGTCTTCTGCCTGCCCTGCCTTGTCATGGACTGTTTCTCCTCTGCGATGCCCCTCTGCCATGCCACCCTGCCTTGGAGCCAGGTGACTATGGACTAAAACCTCTACAAACTGTGAACCAAAATAAACCTTTCCCTCTTTAACTTTGGGTGTTGGGTATTTTGTCTCAGCAATGAGAAAAGTAACTAAGATAGGCCCCCAAGGCACATGCTACCTAAAGGTGACATCCTTGACATTGGTTCCTTTAATCACAAACCGAAGAGAAAAGCATAATCAGAACCTATACACTGCATCAGTCACTTTCCCACTGCAGAAACAAAATAGCTGACAGCTTGAAGGAGGGGAAGTTTACTTGGGCTCATGGTTTCAGTGCATGGTTGATTGGCTCCAAGGCAGAAGTGGCATGGCTGAGGGGCAGGATGGAGAAAAGATGCTCAGCTTGTGGCAGTCAGAAGGCAGAGAAAGAGAGGAGGACCCAGGGACAAGAATGAGCCCTTCCACATCATGCTCTCAATGGCTCACCTCCACCTAGGCCCAGCTCCTAACAACTATAGCACCAGCACGATCCTGTTCCCTTCCAACACCTTAGAGATTTTATATCTAAACCACAACATACACTTTCTTATATCCCCTTGACCTAACATACATTTGCAAGATTGTGGCAAAGATGAGTGAGGAAAGATCCTGAGAGCCTTTAGGGTCTAAGAATCCAGCGCTATGTTGTAGGTCAAGAGGAGCTGGGTCTGTATAACGGGGATGGGGCTAGACATTGAGAAAACAGAAAAATGAGTGAAATATGATAGAAATCAGGCCAAGACTAAATGTCAGAAAATCTGTTTAAAAATTATTTGATAGGAGACCCCCCAAAGACTTTATCATTGTGCACAAAGAAATTTTCCCAGAAAAAAATTATTTTATCTTTTAAAGTCCAGCAGAGTGTCTAAAATGTTTACTCAAGAAATAAAAGCCTTCCCTTCCAGAAGGACACTTGCATGTGGCAAGAGACACCCACATCTCTGGCATTTTGTGTCTGCAGAGGGGTACTGACCTTGGTCTGGGAACAGTCCAATGGGAACTTGGAAAGTTCCCTTTGATTTAACAGTTGCTGGACCACTCCAGTGTGTGTGTAGCAAGGGAGCTGAGACAAAGCCCACAGAACTCACTGGTTCTCAAAACAAAAAGTTCTTCTTCCCTCAAAATTTAGATGTATGCAAATTTACTCAGTGATCTGGCATGAGAGGGCCTGGGACGAGATAGCCAGGCTGGGTAGACAGCCTGAGCGTCTCACTCAGCTTTTGGCCTGATCTTCTGAACTTCCATCTTGGCCCTTTTCATTAGTCAGCCCAAGTCCTTGACAATGGGCACACAGAGTGTCTGCCTGTCTACATGTTGACCATCATTAGCAATAATTAAAGGGAAGAGCTCAGAGGATAAATAATGACACCTGAAAACTAGTGTAGCTGGATTGAAGTTTTGTTTTTTTGTGGTGCTGAAGTTAGAACCCAGGGCCTTGTGCATGCTAGGCAAGCGCTTCACCACTTCCCCAGGCCTGGAGTTTAAAAGCGATTTTTTCTGGTCTACCTTTAATGGAATCTTTGAAATTGTGCATTTCTTTAGAGTCCAAACTCTATATTATTCCATTTGATCCAGAGTTTGGCACATTTCTTGGCCATAGTAGATGGAATTGTTAACCAGTGTAAAATGTGATTATTGGCTTATGTGGTCTATGGCCGCCAGAGGGAGCTCTTTGGCTTTTCTTAGCAGAGACAATGGCTTGGTTCACTGCTGATGGGGAACAGGGAATCCATAAAACTTGCCCTGGCGTTATGGTCTCAGCTGAAACCTCATGTTAATTATTTTATTTGTTGTCCTTAATCTAGGTCACCTTTAACCAAAGTAATATTATAACTTTGAAAATCCTAAATGCTGAGGTAGCATTTAAAGAACCCCATAGCCTTCTAAATAAATAAGGATAGACCTATGATTATTTCTACTCTGAAAAGGGGAAAGGTATCTTTGAAGAAGAAGAAAGGGTTTCCTCAAGGTTGGTGCTTCGGGAGGTCCCACTGCTGAGAGTTAAAGATGTTGGTCATCCTGCTCGGGGGTCTCTGGAACTGGAGATGGGACAGAAAAGTTTCTCATTTTGAAAACAAACACAGGAAGTATGACTCACAACTGGTGCACAGGCTCAGGGATTCAGAAGTTCTCACCCAGCTAATGGTAGGGAATTTTGAGCCCTACCATAAAACCTTTTTATAGGTTACCTAAAGAACTGGTTAAACTGAATATCTCTGACATGCATTTGGAGGGGGGAGCTTCATTGAGAACAGGAATGTAGGAGGAGAAAAGGGCCTGCTTTCTGGCTAGTGTTAGGATAGGCGACCTTCTTGGATAGTAGCTGGATTATGCGCGCCCCCCCCCCCCCATGGCTCTCCTATTGAACTCCTAAGAGGGGCGGGAGATGGAGGGAGGAGGCTATATAAGTGGAAGATTCTTCAAGACAGAAAATGTGTAATAAACACATGTTATGGCTAAAAGTGACTTCCTGAGTTTCAGTGGGATTCTGTCGACAGATTGTGATAGCTCTGTTTGGCTTGACTTTCAGTGGTGAAAATTCCACAGCCACCTATCACCTGCAGTTTGGGGTTCCACTGGAAGATGACGGCTTTATGAAGTACATGATGAGTGAGGAGTTGCTGCTGGGCATCTTGCTACAGGACTTCCACGACCAGAGTGAACCTGGCTGTGAGGGGCTGGGGCTCGACACAGCCTCTCTCTTGCTCTATGGTAGGTAGAGAAGTAAAGAAGTCAGAATTGGAATGGTGAACAGGTGAACAGATTGAGGACAGATGGTTTGGTTTGTCATCTTTGGTGGCTTGTTCCATGCTGTGGTGGTCCTGGCCTCTGTAAGCAGACAGAGTAGTTGGAAAACATTATAGAAAAAATGAACTGTAAAGTTAGAGAGCCCTGCTGTAGAGTAGGTGGGCTCTCTGTGAGGAGTCTTCAAAGACCTGCATCTGCACCTTCACCTTGCTCAGCCAGCTTGAACCATTTCCCTCATCAGAACTTGTCACAGAGAGAGGTGTGGTGATCCATGCCTGCAATCCCAGCTACTCTCAAGGCTGAGGCAGGAGGATTGCAAATTCAAGATCAGCACAGGAAACTTGGCGTAAGTTTCATCTCATAATAAAAAATAAAAATGGTTGGAAATGTAGCTAAGAGTCAGAGTGCCTTTGGATTCAATCCCCAGTACCACAACAAAAACTTACAGTACATTGTATAATTTAAAATAATGACATTTTATAGGTATTCTTATGATTAGATTACAAAAAAGAGTTGAATGTTAAAATTTTTTCAGTATCCAAAAGGCCGCATGAACATTTTTATCATGAATTATACCAAAACAAGTACACAGACAATAACAGTTATATTCCTTTTGAAAACTGCTCACTGTGTGTGTGCGTGTGTGCGTGCGTGTGAGTATGCTGACTAAAGGGTGAACTTTCACAGTTTAGAATTGACAATCACTCCAGTTTTACCTAAGACTTTACATTCAAACCAATACATCAGACAAAATATAAATGTTTCAAATAATCTTGATTTGGGGCCGGGGATTTAGCTCAGCGGTTTCACCGCCTGCTGCACAAGCGCAAGGACCTGAGTTCGATCCCTGGTACCAAAAACACCCCTTGATTTTAAAATTAAATCTAGATTTTTAAAATTAGTGACTTTTGCTTATCTGTGTTTTGCTCTTCAGAATGAAGTGGTGAAGGTCGGTCTATGTCAGAAAGCTGTGCTCCCCTGAACTTTGGAGTCGAAGAGAATTCATTCTGTGATCACGACCAGAGGGCGGAGCCTGTCCTTCTTCCAGATCCTGTACAGAGATGGGCCCTCTCCAGCCCCACAAGGCACCAGCAGAGGCCACTCCAGCTGGCTTAGTGTGGACAAAGCAGGAAGCCAGGCCAGGTGGGGGAGATGAAGTATGGCAGTTCCCACATGGGATATCCGAGTATCCTTAAGACACTGGCTGCCTCCACTCCTGCAAAGATCCTTCTTTCTCTTTAGCACAGAGTGGTGCAGCAATGCCTTGTCTTCAGCAGGATTCCGCTAACCTGTGCTGGTGGACAGGGATGGCAGGCAGTCATGTGAGGGAGAATTGAATCAATTCCTCACGAAAATACCCCTCTCTCCTTCCCACATCTCTGTGTGTGTGATGTGTGCATGTGTTTGGTGTTACTCAGGATGCAGCCCAGGAGTGCTCTACCACTGAGCTATATTCCCAGCCCCCCTCCCTTTAAAATTTTGAGACAAGGTCTCACTAAGTTGTCCTGGCTGAATGTGAACTAGTAGTCCTCCTGCCTCAGCCTGCTCAGTGCTGGGGTCACAGGCATGCCCACTGAGCCCAGCTCTACTGTTGTATTTGATCTACCTTCAAGCCAGGAGAAGGAAGGTGTGAAGAAGAGGAAGGTACCTTCCAAGACCTAAACAGTAGAGCTCTGTGTCTACTTTCATGACTGTATCTGGGTATTTCAACAAACCTTTAACATTGCCTTAGACACATCACCCAATGTTTTCGTGAATATATATATATATATATGAGGAATTATATATATATATATATATATGAGAGGAATCATATATATATATATATGAGAGGAATTGTGTTGCTCCTTCTCATTGTTCCTGGGACCCCTGAACACCTCCTTTGGAAACATGGAAACATGGGTCCTTTTGAGTTTCGAACATGCCTTCATCCTTTTGGATTGTCACCTCTCTTCTATTTTTATAAACTTCCATCAGAGAATCATCAAGATTGGTTAGCTTCTGCTTCTGATACCACACAGTGCCTGTGTATTGCCCAGCATCACTGGACCCCTGGAGGACTCAGTGTCTTCCAGGGTTCATTATGTGCCTTATTGCAGTTGGTTGTGAAATAGGAAGAACCACTGTCCTTTTGAAGTAAACTGCTGGAAGCTTATGCCTGCTCATTTTGGGGTTGGGAGGAATGTTATTGACTGTATCAGTCATTGATAGATGCAAAATTGACTGTTATAAGGGAACAAACAGTATGTGTTGTTAAAATTGCCTTGCTGTAAATTTTTTGGATGAATTTTGTGCTCACATGATGGGAGATTCCTAGCCCTGGTATCAAAGTAAAATCTGACATGTGAGAGGCAGCTGTACATGGCTGTGTGTTGGTATAGATTTGACTTGAGCTCTTTTGGAATAATGTGAATTTGCTTTCTTATTTAACTAGAAGATACATGTAACACATTGTCTCATTGTAAGGACAGTTCCTTAAACTAGTGAATTTCTTTGTATTTTTTACATGTCAAACATGAACTTTAGTGTGTCTGTACTTTTTAGAAAACAATGAAGACTTTTAATGGAGATTGATTTAAAACATTTACATAAATTATTTTTGCATTTGCATGTTGCATTCACCTTTTCTGTATTTGTGTTGAATCTCCAGAGCCATGTGTTTGGGCTGGCATTTTCTTGGGATTAGAAGTGATCTTTTCCTGTCCTTGATGGTAGCGTCCTCTTCCATAGGAATAAGGTGGAGCTGGGTTTGGTTGGGCTGGGCAGTGTCCTCCTCTCTGTTCCAGGGAAAGCAGGGGTGAAGCTATCTGTCCTCTCTTCTTCCTTTGAGGGTCCTTTCTGGCAGGACTATGTATCTAAAAGGGCTAGAAGGATAGCCTTGTCTGTGTCTGGACACAGAATTTGGTTTCATTTTTCCGTTCTCCTTTGGAAAGCACCAAGTTGCAAGTACCTTGCCTTGGGTTTTGACAACTTTGAAGTCATAGAGAGAAGAGAAGCCTTTTTGAGGTTTGACTTTTGGGTCCAATTGATATGGAAAGAATTAATTTTGTGTGCCTAAAGCATTTTGAAGTGCTTGAAAAAATATACTTGCATATGCTATACATTGTTTTGCCATTGGAGATAAATTTACTGGTCATCACACATTGTAATTATTAGCATAATACCTGGTGCACAGTAGGGTTTCAACAAGTGTCTGCAAAATAATTGAAGGATGTGAGATGAAAAACTGCTTTTTTCTGGAAGTCACTTCAGTACAGATAAAATGCAGATAGCTAGATTAGCAAAAACACTCTCTTGGCTCCACCAGTAGAAATCCTAGCCATACATATGCAGTAATCTCTGCTTTCTTTTCAACTTAATTTTGTTGTATAGATTAAAATTTTTTTTTAATGATACTGGTGATTGAATCCAGGGGCTTGAGATTACTAAAATGTAGCTTTACCAATGAGCTACACCCCCAGACTCTAAGTGATGTGTCCTATGGAAGGCTATAGTGGATACCAGAGGAGAAGAAGACAATAAGAAAGGAAGATGTTCCTGTTATTTGGAAGTCAAGATGCACAGATGAAACAGGAAACAAGGGGAAGATATACCCATATTTACCCGGGCATGTTTTCTGGGATCCCAGTTTTCTGGGAGCCTGAGGCAGGAGGATCACAATTTCAAGCCCAGTCTGGACAGCTCAGTGACTTAGACTCTGTCTCAAAATAAAAATGGGCTGGGAAAGTAGCTCAACGTAAGTGCCCTGGGTTCAATCTTCATTACAAACAAAGCAAAATAAAGGAACAAACAAATTCCCTATTTAACACCAAGGTCCAAATGTAAAAATTAAGACCAACTATGGCCGGGGATGTAGCTCAGCAGCCTAGCAGCTGTCTGGCAAGCACGAGGCCCTGAGCTGGATTCCTGGTACCCCCCCCCCAAAAAAGAAAAAAAAAACAAAACTCAAGTGTAGGTTGTGGGAGGCCAGAGAGAAGAGTGGTCAATGTAGTTTAAGTGGAGAAGGAAAGACTCAAGCTGAGCTAGACTCACTGGTGGGATCTGAATAGTAGATTTGCCTCCCTTGGCATGTGTTCATGTGTTCTTAGGATGAAGGTTAGTCTCCTCTTTTCCTCTCATATGTGAACTCTTGCTGAGAACTCCTGCCCTATTCAGAGTATGATCAGCATAGACAAAAATGAGAAAAATAGGTCTAGAGATGTAGCCCAGTGGTACAGAGCTTGCCTAGCATGCTTGAGGCCTTGTGTTCAATGCCCAGTACCGTAACAAACAGACAAACAACACAGGAAAAATAACCCAGAGTTCTTCCTTCTCTCATTACTGTTTCATTGAATGATTTAAATCAGTGCCCCGCCATCTTATAGCTGGAACCTTAAATCCTAGAGAGTGGGAAGGACCAGGCAGAGTCCTACAGTTTGAGAGGCCAAGCCCACCAGAAATCTTACATGAAGCATGGCCACAGTCCCAGGGATACCCAAGGTCAGGCTCAGCTCAGGCCTGGTTTACTTCTACAAATCCACAGGGTCACAGGTGGTTGGGGGAAGAGATGAATCAAGAGGTGTGGCCATGGAAGACTGATGGAAACAGCCACTCAATGCTTCCCTCAAGTACTTGCAAAAGAACCTTCAAGGAAGTTGTAAGGGACTTGCATTAATCTACTAAACATTTGGCAGAAACAAAGTCCACTTAGCTGAAGTGGACTTTCTGAACTTCAGAGCCTTGATTAGAAAAAGAGTAGAGTTGTACAAATGCAAATAGAATCTCCTTTTCTGTGTAGGCTCCTGTGGAGTCTTCTGCTTGTGCCTTTCCATCTGGAATATTTGAAGTGCTTGTCACCTAGGTTTGCTGGAACAATGGCAGCATTTGAACTTGTTATCAGCAGTAGATTTTCCCGCCCCTATTCCATTTTAAATAAGTATTTATCTATTGATCAGATGGAGGGCTTATTTAGTGATGCTAATATTTATAGATGCTATTATTTATAGTATGAATGTAAATGAAAACCACAGAGCCTACAGTGGCTTCATGTGCTGTACCTCCAAATTTGGGCTGGGTACAGTGTGAAGCCTGGTGTGGGGCAGGGGAGCTTTCTGGTTACATTTGTGATTGGCAAGTGTGGTTCAAATGCTCAGACTCAGTTCCCAAAACAGTGGTCCTTTAACTGAAGAGTTGCATCCCTAACCCATGAAATCATACACAAATGTGTTTATCTGTGTGAATGTGTATTTTCTGTCAATACGGTACACAGAATTCTGAAATCTACGTAAGATGAGATCAGATATTATATATGTATATCATAAGTATTTTTTTGACATTAAAATTTACTACACAATTCTATGTTCTGTATATTATATATAATTCTGCATATTTTATACATTAAACTCAGAATTTTTCTCGTAATTTTTATTTTTTAGTCATTAATATTTTTGACTGACAAATAATGTGTACATTGTAGTGGGTATTTTGAAACAATCCCAAAGAGCTCTCCTGCTCAAAAAAAAAAATGTTTTTTTCCCTTATATAACCTCATTTAATAGCAGCTTTCTTTGACTAAGCATTTAAACTTAATACATTTCTGGTAAAAGGCATACATTGCTTGGGACAGGTAATGCTTTCACAAGATAAAGCTTAAACAAATATAACTTTTCATATTAAGAACATTTCAACCAACCACCTTCCGCAATAGTTTTGTAACAATGTAGAAAATTCCAGCACAGATTTATCAGCTTGGTGTTTCTGCTTTGCTGGAGGATTGCTAGGTGGATCACTGGATGGGTTGGCATCTTTCTCCACACATCATGAAAGATTCCTTTACTCTTTGATATTATCTCTATTTAGGGTCTGTGATAGATGACTGGCACCTATTAGATTAATCCTCTTATTTATAGCGAAAAAACTGAGCCTCCAAGTTACAGACTGAAGGTTACAGAGTATGGAGAGAGAACCAGGATTCAAATCACTGCTTATCTGTCTTGAATCCACACTACTCTCCCTAAGCTATGTTATACCTTGTACACTATTCCCTGCTACCACAAGCACCTCTTGTATCTGAGTAAATCTTAGCCATAGATCAAAGTCAGGTTTCCACGTGAAAGAAATTTACTAAAAATTAGAAGTTATCAGAAGTCTCAGCAAACCTGTTTTGACTCTCTCGACCTCAGTCCACTGGATTTGTCATCATTAGGCACTTATCATATTTTAAATAGCCGTTGCTTTGAGCACAAAGTAGTAATGCTCCACTGGTTGACTCAACAAACCTTTTGCTATTTTAACATCCCTAAAATTAGGACGGTGGTTATGAGTTATATACAATAGCAAAGACACAGGTGCGAATGTAGAAATAGTCTAATTTGCTAACTGTTCTTGGTCTTCCTTTTCTCAATTGTGGCTTAATATTTCCATACTGTTTTTATTGGCACCTGCTTTTATGAGTTACATTGATAACTATATATTTGTGTTAAGTTTATCTCAAACTGATGGCTTAGGGCAGAGATCCACAAGATTGTTTTCTGGAAAGGGCCAAAGTATAAATATTTTTGGCTTTACAGGACCTATTCAACTCTGCCATGGTGGAGCAACCACAGATAGCATGTGAACAAATGTGTGTGGCTGTGCTTCAATAAAATTTTATTTACATAAAGGGTTGATGGGCCAGATTTGGTCAGTGGCCCATTGTTTGCTGGCCCCTAGTTGAGGGGATAGACATAATTCTGAGAATACTAAAGATGATGGAAAATAAACAATCAAGGCCTATAGAGAAGTGCTTATTAGGGAAAGAATAGGTCTGTGCATTATTTTTTCCATGGGGATAATTTTAATCATATGTTATACATGCCATATTACTTAATGCAATAACAAAGACTCTTCCATATAGTATATTCAGAGGATTGAATTAGAAGTCAGTAAATCAGGCACTAGATAAGATTCTGCCACTAATGTATCATTGGGCAAATTATTCTCTCTGAGCCAAAAGATAGAAGGATTAAAGGCTCACCACAGGTCTTGGTGCTTTCTCATCTTCTGATGCTATGATGTTGTGTTACTTACTTTTCTCTCATTGCTGAGACAAAATACCTGACACCCAAAGTTAGAGGGGAAGGGCTTATTTGGCTTACCATTTATAGAGGTTTCAGTCCATAATCGGCTAGCTCCAAGGCAGAGATTGCAAACAGGCATCGCATAGGAGAAACAACATGATGTGCACAAGGTAGCAAAGGTAACAAGGGAGTTTGAACAGCATCTTTCTGCCCCTTTTATCTTATTCAGACTACCAGGATTAGGGTGGTGCCAAACCTATCACTCACATGTAGTGGTTTAGTAATCACACGCCCTTAACTCCAGCATCACGCATTCCAGATTCAGCTACCTCTGAAAAAGAAAGTCTCACCTCAGCCGCATGAGGCTTTGGGGGCACATCTAAACACAAACCATAACAACTGTCTTACTAAGATTTATAGAGAGGGTCTGGGGATATGGTTGCTTGCCAAACATGTATAAGGCCAAGGGTTTGATATCCAGCACTGCCAAAAAATTATGGGGAGAAATACAAAGTTTACACACAAACAAATATATATTAAAATTATGTAAAAATGAAACAGTACTGAAACCTTCTGATTCAGCTCACATAAATAAGCCATGGGGGGCAGTGAGCCAAAAGACACTGTGTAAAGGACATTTCTTAGGCACAGGGAGTAAGGGGAATATGACACTTCCATGGGGACTGAAGCTGAGCTGGAAAGTTACTGTAATGTGTGAATTCTCCCTTGGGGGACACTTCTTATGATGAATAAGCTGCCTTGTAACTTCAGAGGACAATCATGATACTTTATAAGAATCCAGTCAGGTGGGAGGCTAAGACAGGAGGACTGCAAGTTTGAGTACAGCCTGGGCAATTTAGTGATTTAGCAAGATCCTGTCTCAAAATAAAAAATTTAAAAAGGGCTGGCAATGGAGTGTGAAGGCCTTGGGTTCAATTCTCAGGACTCCAAAAGAAAGCAAAACAACTCCCCAAACCCCCAGAACAGCAAAAACCAAGGTAATTCAGAAAAGTAGAATCTTTTGTGGTGTACAGAGCTATAGGGGACCAGGAAGCTCTTCCTGCTACAGAGCCAAGGATGGTCACTCTTTTCTCAGACAGCGGTGTTCAGGATTAGTTTGTTGATTTGTGGATGGCAAATGTTGAGCAGGATCTGAAAGGCACCGTGGTTTGCAGGCCATACTCTGTGCAGACCCTGGAGAAGTAAGCTAAAGAGCTCTGTGCCTCAGTTCTGCTTCAGCCACAGCCCCAGGCCCTACTTTCATCTGCTGCTAAACAAAGGCAGTCCAATCTCATCACTGTAAACAAAAAGACTGAGTCTCAGAAGGGACCATACGTAGCCCTGGCTGTTGGAGGGAAGGAGAGGAGACTCTGCTAGGTATGAGAAGTTCATATTCGTCTTCTGGGCAAGGTGAATTCTTCGGGGTGGCAGACACACGGAGAAGTGAATACTCTGTCTCAGTGCCTCCCAGAGACTCCCTGGGCCTGTTAGACTTGCAGGGGATGTTCTCATAGAGTTCTCCGATAACCTCCTCTTCAGTAGAGTTCCCCAATGGCTTCCTCCCCGGGGCCTTATGATTGATAAGGACGTAGCACACTTCATCCTCATAGATCTGGTTACCACCATCCTGCTGATCAAAGGAGGACCATCATCAAGATTCTCTTTACACTTCAGTCTCAACACAGGCCTGATCCTGGGTAAGGTCTATCTCTTTCATGACCACCTCCTCTCTGTCTCTTGTCCATTTTTTGTAAATTGCTGCCCCAACTCCAACCTCTAGACCTTTTGACCAAAGTACTCATATTGCCCGGGGTATACACCTACTCAGGTGTGTCCTTTCTGCCCATGTTCTAAAGTGACCCCTGAGCGCCTTGTATAATTCACAAAGTCAGCCCATTCTGATAGAAAAGAACAATGTAATGGCATCTTAATGTGTTTAGGTTATAACATTTTTTTTTTGGTACCGGGGATTGAACTTGGGTCCTTGTGCTTGCGCAGCAGGCAGCGAAACCACTGAGCTAAATCCCCAGCCCCTAGGTTATAACATTTAACCACTCATTACAGAGACGATGGCATTACTACAAAGGGACAGTCCAAGGAAAGTTTCACTTGTAGTAAAATCTCAGGAATTTAAAAAAACAAAGACAGCCAAGGGAAAAAGCATGGATTTTAGGGTGAGACTAGGTTGTGAATCTTCTTTTAGCTGTCTAGCTTTGCGGAATATACCTTCATTTGTTATTTTTCTTATCTGTAAAATGCGGGGGAAATAATGGTACAATATTGTGGGGTTGTTGTGATGGTTATAGATGATGTCTGTAAAGCACTCAGCACATTGCCTATCATAAACAAAGTGCTGACCAAATATTAGTTCCTTCACAACCCTGGCATCTAATGTCTTTCTTCTATGCCAGGGTCAGAAAGGGTCTTATTACCTTGGTGGGAGAAGATGTTGTTCCTTTACCTGCAAAAAGAAATACACTCAATGAATTTCAGGTCATGGGGAGATTTGAGGAGTGTGAAAACTGGACTATAAGCAACCAGAGAACCAAAAAACAGCTGGGGTAGCCCTTACCAGGCACTTTGATCTACAGGACATCCTTGGGGTGGGGGCGTTACAGGACCATTTAAACAAGAAATAGCCAGAGGTTGCTCAGACTGAGAGGTCAAGTGGAGGGCAACATATTTGGTGAAGCATTGGCTAGGAAATCATACTTCTTCCCTCCCTCCTCCATCTCTCTTCCTTACTCAAGATCCATCCTGTACTGTACAAAGCACTGGCATCAGAAACAATCCTGTCCTCCACAGGCTTGCATGGCAGGCAGGTGAGGGGCTGTGAGAGACCACAGTGCAGAGAACAGCATGCTGTTTCTACCTTAGCCGACAGAGGATGGTGGTAGATTGGACCTTAGTGCTCAAGGAAAGTTTCACAGAAAGGGAACCTCTTGTGCTGACCATTCCCATTCCTGTAGCTGCTGGCAGGTACAAACACAAGCAGGCCAATTTTCCCAAAGCCAATTTACTGTAAACCTGCTGGTTCCGGCCACTCAGCAAAGAGCCAAATAAACACTTGCTACCCCCTCATAAAAGGGCCAGCTCAAAAAGCAAACACGTGCCTTCCACAGAAGCCTGCCCATGGAGCAGACGTGTCCAAGTAGTTACCACATGGTACCTTTGTACAGAGATATATATTCCCCCCAATTCTCACATCTCCAACTAAGACCTCCCTAATTATAATTACAAGAAAAGGGTTTGTGAGTTTTAGCATCATGGGTCTTATTTCTATCACATTAGGATCCACCATTGCTTGGGTGAAATGGCTAGGACCAGGAGGGCTAGATCATTTGTTTACATACCTCACAGATCTGACTTTTGAAACTCAGTGTGTGCATGAATTACATCAGTGATGGCAAACCTTTTAGAGCTTTCAATGATACAAACAGCCTGCTGAGACACACAACCACTGTACTACCCCCTTCTCTTTAAGACAAGGCCAAAACAGTTTTCTTCTTCAGAAATACAACAGCCTATCTTAGGCTCACCCTTTCTTCTTATTATTCTCTTACATGTGGATGCTACTCACGATCTTGCCCTTCTTGGATTCTTCTATTTCCTTAATTTTAACTCTCATTTGTCCCCAGAGACTATGGCATCAGCCTCCTAAGTGGTTTTCTGGTGTCTGCTCTGGCTACTCCTTAATATAGCTTCTCTGCCAGCAACCAAAAGGTGATCTGCTTAATGCAAATCTGATCACACCTGCCTTTGTGAAAAGCCCTTCAATACCTCTGGTCACTCTCAAGACAAATATCTAAATCCATAACTGGCCCTCTCCTAGCCACTTTATGTCTTAGCTGGCTTTCTTGATGTTCCTTCTAAGTCCCATTTGACTCTAAATTTTATATTTCTTTCCCTTAGTGAATTCCCTCCATCTACAAACCACAAAGCACTAAGTGAAGAACATGGAGATCAATAAGGTGATCCCTGCTTCACTGAACTCACAATCTAGTGGAGAAAACAGACCTACAGGTGGGCAAATTGCAGCAAAATGCATAGGTATTATACTAGAAATATGATGGGACAGCGATGACTTACTTTCCTTTTGGGAATCCTGGCTTGCTTTAAAAATATGTATTCTTTTCCTGTTTAAAAAAAGAGGAAAGTAAATTGGTTGTTACAATATTCACGAACTCTAAAAGAAAATTACACTAACCTGTGTAACAGTCTTTAATTTCTTAAAATTGTATGTCTTTTACAAAACTTCACTCAACATACACCATTTAGAAGTTAACAAAAATGAAAAATGAAGATGAGGGCAGGTAGGAGACCTCCTACATCCTCCTTTTTTACTTCTCATGTAGAATTTATTCATATAGAAAGGGAACTATGGTGCTGTTTTAAGTTATCTTTTGGAGAATTTTTTCTGGTAATCTACAGGTTTATTTTATATCATGACAGTACAGGAGCCAGAATTATTTTCAAGCCTAATCTGTATTATCACCAAAACAAAAGCACACCTTCCATTAGAACATACAACATAGAAGAGCCCCTGGGTAGATGGAATGTAAATATGATGGAAATTTATTATCATCTTAGGAGACAGGGCAAATTTACTATAAGGAGGATGGCCATATGTTCTGGTTTGCTGGGTCTGGTTAATGTCATTATCAATCACCTAGCAGTCACTAGCTATTTTTAGCATCACTTTGACTCTCAAAGTTGTCTCAGTTTGGACAATAAATTATATTATCACCTTGACTATAAATTCTCAGTGTAAGGGACAGAAATGTGTTCTGTGAATGGTGACCCTGGGATTTGCAGTGTGAAAAAGTCTTTACGTTAGTAGCCAGTTTCATTGTGACACGAGGCTTACCCATTAAAGGAGAGTGTACAGCCCATGAGACAGTTGTTCCCGTTTCTTACCAAACTTGAAGAATTGCTTCTCAGAGTGGCTGTCAGGTGATTGCATCTGGGCTTATTGCCAGGCTTCCACTGTGGCCGCAGATGGCAGGGAGTTTACAGGTAACTTACAGCAAATACCACATTGAAACCATACTTGGGGAAATAACTCCTAAGAGCAGCTCTCAACTTACCATGGAAAGCAGAAACATCTTTCAACAGTGTGGTGACCCCAGCATCTGAAATACACAAGAGAGATGATACAAAGTCACAGGACTCATTTCTGAAGCTTTATTAAAGTGGTTCCCTTCCCTTTGCCATTTCTTGGGGGAAAACCTTTTGTTCCCCAAGCAAGCATTCATCTTAGGTGACTTGGATGTGTCAGTTCCTAATCAGGGAGAAGAAAAGCCTTTCTGCTGTATTCCAGCAAAGGGGAAAGGTTTTCTCACCTCCAGTTCTTATGATTTTCTTGGCTCCTTTGTGATGAAGATCACATAAGAGGTATCTTCAGGAAATTAGGGTATAAACATATAGACATTTTAGAGATCATTTTGTTCAGGTATAGGATAGGCAGTATTTTTATAGGATTTCATTGAGCTCTAAATTGCCTCTTTTTTCCCCTCTGTTATATTTGTCTGCTTACTTGTCTATATCCTAGAATGTGAACTTCAAAAGTTTGGGAACATATTTATCTTATTCATCATGGCATGTATCACTAGTATATGCTACAAGATAATACATAATATGTTTTAATATGTAATAATATGAATAAGGAAGATAATGAATGATGAAGATATGAACGAGTAGCCAAGAACACAGCAACTGTAAGTGGCACAGGAGGCCACCCGATCTGTCATCTTCACTCCAGTAGTATAGCTATGTAAGGGGACTTTTATGTATTTTATGATAGACAGGCTTAGAATCTCCCTGTAGTCAGACATGTAGGTTAAAGTCTAAGTATCATTCAGGGAATGTATCTAAATCTGAGGCATAGTTAACTACCTATCTATACGGTTGAATATGAAAGTCCTATATAAAGTACTACATGTACCGGTTATGATGTAAAATCATTTGAAAAACACCACCTAAAAATGTCTTCCCCAGTGAGCTTTCTCCTGGAGTTCCCTCAAAAGTGGTAGTGGGGGAGAGTTGGATGGCACTGTGACCATAACTGTGGCTGCCAGCTTGGGTGAGTGTCCAACAACCTCCAGCAGACCAAAGATGTCTCTGATCTCAGCCCACGTGCTAACAATTCCAGGTTCTAGCCTCTCACAAAAGTCTTCCCTTGCTACAAAATTATCTCTCTTGTTATGATGCCCTTGGTTCTTGTGATCTGTTCCATCATTTTAAAATCTGCCTGATGATAAAACCCCAAAATATAATCCTCAACTTGCTTTGAAGACATGCAGCCTATTGCGGGATTGCTGGCTCTTTAGCTCCTAATACATCTTTGTCTCAATGGCTGCTTTTTAGTTTTATGATTTCAAAACCTTGGTGGTGTTGAGCATGCTCATCTGGCTGTTCTTTGTTTGGCATTTTGGAGCCTCAGATTCCAAGGCATCTCTTGAGTGTCTTGCTGCCCCCAAACATATAAAAATAGATTCAGGATTCCTCTCCAAGATCCCTACATCTTTTTATATTTTTACAATTTTCCTCATTCTGCTTTTTGTGTGCGAGCCTGAAATTGCCTTAGCTTTTCCCTTGTTGCCCTTACATTTGTTAATACTCCTTCCTAAAGCACACACTACAGTCCATCTTAGATCTGACTTTCTCTTTACACTGCCACAGGAACAGCCCACTGATTTTCTCTGAAAGCAGACATACACCTCAAACAAATCATTTGTTCCCAAATGTCCGAGAATCTTCATCATAACCCTAAGAATATCAGTGTCACAGAGAAAAGCTTGTTCTCCTCGGCTGTCATTATCTGTTTTTGTGCAGTCCAAAATCTGTACACAAACAATGGGGAAGGATACATAAACGAGAGTACACAAACAATAGCCATGTGTCACAGACAGCACAGAGGCAGAGAACATGGCAAAGTGAGAAGAAAAGCATTCAATAAAGAAAATAAATTAGCTCATTTCTTGGGGTGGATTTCTGCGTAATTATCTTTTCATTTGCTGGAAGTTGGGGCTTATGAAGAAAAAAGAAGCTAACAAAACTGCTAGTCATTTTATGTATTATATTGCCTTTAATCCCACAATAAATCTATGAGGTCGATATTATCATTCTATTATTTATCAATAAAAACACTGAATCCAAAGCATTAGGCAACTTGCCTGAGGATCTGCAACTGGTGAGGGGAGAGGGTAGGTTTTATTTGGCAGATTCCTCGCTCTGAAATCTGACCTCTTCTCATGAAGGAGTTGATGCCCATCAATCATATGGGGGGAGTTTTCTTGGCTTTCCTAACAGATTTTGTTTGGAAAGACATGGTTGGAGGCATACTGAATGGATGACAGCTGAGTGGAAGGTGTGAAGTTGAAAATCAGGTCCCAGTCAATATAAGATTTTTCAATAGATTGAAGGAAATATTCTAAATTAGCAAGGGATGCTGGTCAAACTGATCTATTACTTGGAAAAAAATCCAACACCAGATATTGAACATATAGGACTAAATATATAACAATAAAAACTCACAAAACACATTTGTGCAGATTTGTCTTATCTTGGGAAGGAAGAAAGGGTTTTAAGCATAAATGCAATGCCAGAAACCTAAATGCCTTCTAGGTTAGGTTCAATTATCTTTAAAATGTAATAAACATAAAATCATAAAAGCCCAAATGATGCACGACACACAGGCTAGAAAAAATACTTGTTTTTGCAATTCTTTTGAGAAAAGACTAATTCCTTCAAAGTATAAATAGACAAAATAAACCAAAATCCAAAACAAAAATGGAGAAAAAAGCATTATTGGCTCTTCACAGATGAAGAAGTATAAATGGCTGAATATAGACAATGAATCTAATGTCATAAGTACACTAGTCATGATTTTAACCTCATTTTCAGGGTTTTGTATTTTCCAATTATGTTTAAAATGAATACACATTAATGACATAATACTTTCCCTCCACAACAAAGTTCTGAAAATCAAAATTCCATATGTGTTATTAATACTTTCTTAGTCACATCACATCTGTATTTTGTTTTATCTTTCTCCTGAGGTCATTCATCTAATACTCATTGAGACCCTGCTATACTCCAGAAAAAGTGCCAGGAGCCAGGAATTCATGAAAGAATGAAAAACAATAAAAAATAATCCTTACATTTGGAGATCTCACATCTTGATTTAAAAATAACAATTTCGAATCTTACAGAAGGATTCTAAAGTAGGAAAAAGATTGGCAAAAGTCTGCAAAGATCCAAGGGGAAGTCTTAGACAACAGTGGTTCTCAGGAAGGGTCATGAGATGGTCCATAGAATCCCCAAGCCATCTTCCTGTAAGTGGTATTTTGGGCCACCTTCTTTTCCTGTTCTATTTTCCGGGGCCACAATCTGACACATGGGACACCAAACATAATCCTGTAAAGACTTCCAGGCCAGCTTTCTCCCTAGACCACTTCATTTTATACCTTACAGATTCCCTTATTTTTGGTAGTATTAATTTTTACAATAGTGGCTTTGATGTTAGTGAAGATAATGGTTCTAAAAAATAAAAGCAAGAGTATCTTCTAGCTATTGAACCTTTCTGTGTATCAGGCTTTGTGCTAGCACCATACATACTAGATCTCTCCCAAGTAAGTACTGTATTATTCCATTTAAAATGAAGAAACGGAGCTCTAGAAAAGTTAAGCTAAATTCTCTATCTATATAGATGAACTCTGCTTACTCCTCTGCCGAGGAGTGTACACTAAACAAAGCTTCAGGGAAGTAGGAAATTTGCTTTTTATTTTTAACTTAAAATAGTGACTAAAGGAGTGAGTGTCTTTGAGCTCTTTTTGGACATTAAGGGCTTGGCAGAGCATTCCCTTCCCAGGCCTCAGAAATTGTTCCGTTTCTTAGGTGGTACACTATTATAGGCTCTTCCTTTGATGAAGTCTTTCCATCGAGGTGCTTTGCTGTGATTCTGGGCAGGAAGGCAGAATTTATAAGGAGTTTTAAAATACATAGTAGGTACTGATTCTTACCCAATTCCCTTCATTCCCAAGACCAGCCTTCTTTTTCTTTTTTATCGCCCTATTCCCTTTCCTCTGCTCCCTGGCAGGGAGTGTGGACTCACCTGTTTTCCCTCTGTAGATAGTTCCCCATCCTTTACTCCTCTCAGCACCTTCTCTCAGTCCTGGCCCCTGTACCAGTTTTACCACTTCCTTCTTGCAGGCCTTGCACTCTGACAGAGCAGCTTCTGAGCTGAGGGCCTGTGTGGGTTCTGAACAGTGGCACAGAGAACAGAAAGGAGAACGGTGTTTGCAGAAGGGAGGAAAAGCTGGGGGAGGAGTGTTAAAGGCGCACACAGGCAGAAGGTCCTTAAATGTCAAAGCCCCAAGGCCCTGGACCTTTCACCAGAATCAGAAGCTGCTGGTCACTGAGTTCTGTGAGACTTTGGGGGATCTTACGTCTGCAATTACAGCTGGGCTGGCTGTGGAGTTTTTTCACTTAAAATGCCTACATTTATTGAGTTAGTTTTTCTTAGAAAAGCCACAGGGGGGAACTTTGTGTAAAAGAGAAAAGATTAAAGCAAAGAGTTAAGGCATAAGCTACTAAAAAATACTATATACAAAGGACTCTCAAAAGCTTCTTATGAATTTCCTCCAGAGTTAGTTTCATTAATTTGTCTTCTAAGTTGCTTCTTAGAAGTTGTCAAATTTATTTCAAAAATGATTTTTGTAATATGCTTTCTATATCCTTTTAAATTCTGTAAAATCTGTGGTAATGTCTCCTAGATCTTAATATTGTAATTTAAAAAAATGTATAACTGATATTATGTAACAGGAAGAAAAGGTCTAAAGGAGCAGGGGAATTGGGAGGGGTAGGGGAAGGGAAAAAAGGGAAAGGAAAAAATATGAGAAGAGGAAAAAAATGGATACAAGGTCTTTGCAAATAGGGAAGGGTGGAGGGGGTGAAGGGAGGGCAAGGGAAGGAGAAAAAAAATAAGAACCAAGATACTCATGTAATGGTACAAGATCCCAATGATGAATGTAACTGTATTGTATACCTAAAAAGTAGCAATAAAGTTAATGGGGGGAAAAAAATCTCTTATGAGAAAACAAACACATAATGACAAATTGAGCACAATATCCAAACAGACTTTTCACCAAAGACGCTACAGGGATGGTAAATGTATGAAAAAATGCTCAGTGCCATCGTCATTAGGGAAATGCAGGTCAAAACCACAATGCAATCCCTTTACACATTTATTAGAATGTTTAATGTCAAAAACCAAAACAAAGCTGACAATACCAAGTACTGGCAAGGAATGAGTTATACCTGGAAATCTCATGCATTTGTGTTGACAGTGTAAAATGATGCAGTCTATTTGGAAACCAATATGGTGGTTTTGTACAAAGTCAAAGATAGACATCCCATCCAATTTAGCAGTCCCACTTTTGGTGATATAGCCAAGTGAAACTTATTCCAAGAACTTGTATGTAATATTTCATATGTGCCAAAAAACTGGAAATCACCCAAACAATCTTCACCTGGTGAAAGGCTGAATAAAGTGTGTTATATCCATATAACAGAATATTGCTCAGCAATAAAAAGATAGACTACTAATATATGCAACAACTTGGATGCATCTCGAGTGAATTATGCTAAGTGAAAGAACTTAGACTTAAAACTGACCTTTTGTGACATTTGGGATATAACAAAACCATTGGAACTGAAAGCACATCGATGTTTGTAAGAGCAAAGGGTATGGGAGGGATTGACTTTCAAAGAGAAGTAAGGAATTTTTGTTGCTGTTTATCTTAATTATAATGCTGGTCACACATTTCCATGTAGTCCTTATAATCCTGGGAACTGTGTACGGCATAGGATGTGTTAACTATATGTAAATTATATCTCAATAGAACAAAGGGAGTAAAGAAAGAAGGAAATTGATTTAAGGTCAGGAATCTGGATTTTTGGCATTATTTTTGTATGTGATGGTTGTTTCTAACTTGGTCACTCATTTGCCCATTTCGCACTCATTTGCCACTCCCTCAATAAATATATGATAAGCATGTCTTATGTGCTGTTACTGTGAGTTCAGTGGTGAGTCAGACCAATGCCCTCATAGAGCTCCTTAAAATGAAATAAAACAAAGTGCAAAATACTTTGCTGTCTGGCCTGGAATAAGAGGTCATGCCTGAAACAGCCAGAAGCAAGATAGGGAGGCTCTTAGAAGAAATAGTTTTAGAGAAATTAGTGTACTAGTAGTTCAACCCCAGACCCATCTCACACCATTCTTGTCCTTGTAACAGTTCTCCAGACTTCAGTCTGTCTGGTCTTGCAAGTGAGGACAGATGAGCAATCCCTGGCTAGGAGAAAAAAAATATTCTGGAATGAGGACGGCCTGTGAGGGTAAGGAAGGCAAAGCCAATTCAGAAGGGTGTTTGATGTGTGAAGCAAAAATATTTTTATTTGTAAAGTTTTAGTCCTTTAAGGGCAAATACAAATTAAAAATTATCTTGAAAATAAGAGGATTTTCCTCCCATTTTAGTAGAGCATTTGCTTTAGAAAACTTGTGAGTTTTATCCCCCTCTCTCTTTTACATGCATGCAAAATGTTTTAAAGGTAAAACATGTAACCTCAAGGACCTAGAGCTGTTTTTCTGGAAATGTAATTGTCAAAGAAGTTTCCCTGGGAGAATAGGTCCTTCATTTGGCACCTGGAACCAAATTGCAAATCTAGCTTCTATCAAAAAAATAAGTGAGAGGGCCAAGGATTTAGCTCACTGGTTCTGCCGCCTGCCTCAAAAGCACAAGTTCCTAAGTTCTATCCCTGGTACCAAAAACAAAAACAAAAACAAAAAACAAACAAACAAACAAAATAAGTGAGAATAGCTGGATATAGTGCTGGCACATGTCTGTAATCCCAGCACCCGGGAGGCTGAGGCAGGTGGATTGCTGCAAGTTCAAGGCCAGCCTGGGCTACATAGTGAGACCCCCCAAAAAAGAGAAGTATATTTTTTCTTTTAAAGTACAGTTAGTGAACATACTAACAAAGGAGCGTAGGCTGAACTATGTGGGGCCAATTCCAAGTTCTCTCATTTGAAGACTAGTCAGCTTATTTTAAGAAGATGTATGCAATGGAATTTTGCTTATATAAAAGGGCAAGATTTCTTTATTTTTATAATTTCTTTATGGGATTCCCTGTGAGTTGCATTACATTCTGGTTTAATGCTTATTAAAAAATAAAAGTGCCCTCTTTTTCTTCTACTTTTGTGGAGACGTTTTTGGAACTG